AGGGCGAACCAGTGGAAAGGTTGGCATAGTGCAAATGTATCATTAAAGTCAATTTGGTGCTCCTGCAGTAGAGCCTCTGGAAGGACGTGAGCATTGGTGGTTGGCTATCCATGCCAATTCCTGACTCCTTGATAGTTAAGTGGTATGCTGTGCATGCAAAGGTGTCAGGCTCAACTATCTTCCTAACCCTTATAGGTGAACGCACAATTAAGAACATACAACCAATTTACTGGCTTAAATGTTGCAATATTGCTTCACTCAAAGTAAGCTGATAAATAATAATGTCATCTCAAAAGAATCAGCAGAGTTTCACACTGCCAATTAGTCATTGTCTAACAGCAGGTAACTAAACATTCTGAAACAATTCTTTCAACATGTTCCCAACTCCTACATCAGGACAAATCTCCCTGTGGTTTTTCATTTTTCAGTTGTTCCTGTACAATTGGGTTTGATTGACTCTACTTCCAGTACAAAAGAATCAGCTCTACATTTCTCTGGTACGTCACAGTAAATTACTATCCAATCCATATTTATACTCAATAAAATGCAATTTCATGCAGGAAGTTATTTACAACTTGCTGGGTATTAAATTATCTCTTGAAAATGTCTACTAAAATTCTGTTGGTGACTGGAAATGGAGGCCTTGAAAGCTCATATGCTCTTTGACCAATTTTATTTTTTTTGTCCAGTACAAAATTCTCCATCTCATTCTTGGGGATTCTGCATCAAACTGGTAAGCTGAACTCATGAAGCTAATTTTTACTCAGGGAAAACCCACTGAAATTATTTTTTGTAAATAACTGCTATGTTTCAGTTTTTCAATCACATTTGTTAGCATATTACTATATGTAAACAAGGCCCATTACTTTCAGTACAATATGAAGAAAATAAATCCTAAATAAAGAGAACAGAATTTAATTGAGTACAATCTTGTGACAGATGGGGAACTCTACGCAAGTGAACTGAACTGTGCTGGCCTCTGCATTTATAATCCCAGCCTATAAGATATCACCTTTACACAGGCAAAACTCTCCTGAAATCATTTTACTCAGCACAATGAACAAAAGCAGTGATCCAATGTATTTTCCTTTAATTTGTAATCATTAACTTATAAAGGATACACACGCAATCCTGCTCAAATGCTCATTCATCTGGGAAACTGTGATTGCTTAATAGGGCTATAGATGGTTGCTTCTTGCTAAGTGAAATTGAACTCATAAGACTACATGGCAACAGGCAATCTGATCCTCCTAGGCTCTACCTGTTGTATTCCATTATTTTTAAGTCTGCGTTTAAGAAGTGTGCCCCAGTAGTTAAGATGAAAGGAGTTAGAGCAGGAGCTGCCAACCTGGCACTTGTTTGTGCTATGGTACGCATGAAAGCTTCTACTGGTGCATCTGGGTAGGTGCCCCAGAGTCTGAACTTTCGCTTCTTTTTAAAGCAAGTCTCTAGCCCTTCTAGAATGTAAATTATGGGGCAATATGTACAGGCACCTTCTATGAGATTTCTGTGGAATGAGTGTGGTGTGGCCACTTCTCACATTTTATTTGGTACTTAGGAATGGTGCACCCTTGAAATATACTTGGAGTCGAGTGTGGATTTCATGCTCTTTATTCAGCTCATAGTAGTGAGGAATGAAAGTTCCCCCAAAATATCTGCTTTATATACATTATTTACACAATGGGCCGCACGTGACTGGCTAATTCGGGGATTCTCCTGTAGGCCAATCAGGTTGCGGATTCACTTCCACCTGGAGCTGGATTGGGTGGCTCCTGCAGCCCAATCATACTGCTGCATTGTTCTAGGACCAATCAGACTGCTGCATTCTGGACCCTATTGTTCTAGGACCAGTCAGACTGCTGCCTTTTGGATCCTATTCAACTCAGTACATAGCAACCCTGTTGCCATTAGGCAGCAACAGCAAGTAAGTGTGTGTGTGTGTGTGTGTGTGTGTGTGTGTGTGTGTAATTAGTAAGGTGCGATTTCCCCAAGCAGGACCAGCAGGACATAACTGACTTCCTATGCTAACTATAAAGTTGTCAGGGGCAGCACTCTCTCTTGTTTTGTGTTACCGCATGCTTCCCATGGCAGCCATTTTTTGTGTTAAGCTCCACCCTGCCCCATAGCAGCTATTTTGTGCCTCCAGTACACTCTTTCAAAACCTGAAATGTGCCCACTGGTCTAAAAAGGTTGAGAACCCTTTAGTTAGAGGAAAATGGCAGGTGGGGAAAATGCTGAGAATGTGGCTGGAGGTTATGAATAAAGATCTACATTGAAGTGGGTTGGACCACTTCTACAATGGGATCCTCAATTAGATTTTAACCCTTGCTGGACTCAGGTCTACAGACTAACCCCTCTCCAAAGTCATACTATATAAATTACTTCAGCAACAGGTTACGGGTCCAGCAGGGGGACTACAGCATATGTGAGAAATTGCCTTGTGCTGGCAAATGTGTGGAGACAGGGGTACCTATACACACTTCTGGTGGACATGACCGAAGGTGGCAAATTTTGGGAAACTAGTGTTTAATGTGATAAGTAAAATTACTCACCATCATATCATGAAGTCTCCAGAGCTTGCTTTACTGAATCTGTATTTGAAGAAGAATCAGGACTTGGTGAATAAACCACTAATTAGATTTCTCTTATGGCAGTACCCATGGTTATAGCCACATTCTAGAAAGACTGAAAAGGTGTGAACTTGAATGCTTGGTACAAGAGAGTAGGCATATGAGCATCTTAAGTGTGATTTTTTGTGGAGGGGGTAGAGTTAAAAGCAAAAACACCCCTCTTGATTGTTTCCTACAGAAAGCCTATGACTATAGTAAGAAAAGGAAAGAGCATATACGTATTTCTGCAAAATCCCATTTGTCACTTTAAGATCATTCAAACTGTAAAATGTTGCTTTCCATCAAGTGTGAAAGGTGTTCATTTGTTTGTGTTGCCAAGGATACATGTGGTAATAACAGGAAAAATATTTCTGGCACGCAATGCACAAACCTGACAAAAATAAGCCAATGTTAAACCCCATATCAGCTCTACAGCCTAATCCAAACTTTGGCTATCTGATTATACTTTACTGACTAGCTGGCATCAGCCCCTAGGGAGCTTGAGGAAATCCCACTGCTTACTTTGTTCCACTTTGAAATAATGACTTTTAACTACTCACTGACCAAACTTGTCTACTTATCCTATGATCTGGGTTCAAATATTGCTGTTATGTTGCTTGTTGAATTACTTCACACCAGTCACTGTCTTTCAGTATAATGTATCTCACATAATTTTGCATCCTGAGAAGAAAGCAAGATAGGAGCCTAAGCGCCTGAAGAGGCCACAACTGACTGAATTCTGCTGTTTTATGTTTTATGCTTGTTTTACATTTTGGATTATAAAGCATGGGGAATTGGCAGAAAGGAGTGCATATAAGTACAGTGCATAGATAAATATGCACTGGTTGCTGGTTTGGGTGGAACTCAGATAGACAAAATCATCTACCACCTCAAGCATGGGGTCACCAAAGCTGATGCGTGGAGGGCTGCCGACATCCTGATCCAGGATGTTGTTTTTTGTCAGGCTGATGTGGGCCAAATTCCCTGCAGGCTTGGGCAAAATGGTGGACGAGTCTCAGTAGGGCTTCCTCGGAGTGCACTGTCTAGATGGAGGATAGAGGGGTTTGTGAGCATGGGTGTAGCCAGGATTTATGCTGGGGCGCAGGCTTCATGTTAGGGAGGGCAGAATCTCAGTTAGTTAAGTATTTTTATTGATTTACTTGATTTGGCGGAGGCAGATGCCCCCCGGCCCCACTTGGCTATGCCCATGTTTGTGAGTGTGTAGTAATTAGCATACCATGAAAAGGTAAAAGTTACACATCTGTTGCTTTTGCTTCTGCAACCCCCCTCCAACCCCCCCCCCGCATTTGGCCCTTGAAAAGCTGTTCAGAAAGCAATGCAGCTGTCTTGCTGACAGATATTCCTCACCCCTGCCCTATACAGTGGTGCCTCTGGTTGCGAATGGGATCCGTTCCGGAGTCCTGTTCGCAACGTGAAAAGCCCGCAACCTGAAGCACCATATCTGCGTAGGTGCGTGGCGCGATTTGGTGCTTGTGCGCATGCACGAAGTGTGATTTAGCACTACTGCGTATGCGCGAGCGGCGAAGCCCAGATGTAACCCTTTCCTGTACTTCCGGGTAGCCGCGGGACGCAACCTGAAAAAACGTAACATGAAGCAAACGTAACATGAGGTATGACTATATACTAATAGTGAACGTATTTGGCCAGTGGGAATTCCTATTTAGCCAAAATGGCACCATCTAGGCTTCAAAAAGGAAGTATCCGACTTAGGCAGAAAGAAGGCTCAAAGGTTCTCCAAAGTTCATAGATCTTTAGGAAGGATTCCCCCTCAGCACCAATTGGACACAGAGTGTTGTCTGAGCTGCTGGAAAGCAGAAAACTGGGGAAGGGACAATAGCATATCCCAGAATTTGGCAGCTTGGCTTCCTCAGCAAACACTCCATGCTGCAACATTTTCTTGCAGGCGCCACTTGAGAGACAGGGGGGCTAGAAAACTTAAACTTGTGATGAAATGCCATTGTAATAACAGAAATGAGTTGCTTTGTTGTTTTTGCCCCTTCACTTTTATCCCCTTTACTAATGAGCGACTGTGAAAGGAACTCAAGTTTCTAAAACAAACCTAGTTATAAAACTCAAATGATGAGGCTGGTGATGCAAAAAACAACAACACGCCATAACAAACAAACAAACAACACTTCTAAGCGGGTTCTGGCGGGACCCAGGTTCTGCTTGACTCGCTCCAAACCCGTGTTTACACATCGAGTCCCATCGTTCTCCTCAGTGCTCCCTTTTTTCCCCTTTTGAGCGCCTTGGACGCTCTCGACGAGGGCGGAGAGGCGCTTCTGGACTGGAGGGAAGGAGGTGGCGCCTCAGGCCGGGAGGCGAGGCCTCCTCGCGGCGTGGTCTTTCGAGGAAGGGCGGGAGCTGGGCGAGGCGGAGGAGGAGGCGGCCGCTGCTGAGGAGACAAGCGGCGGCCCCAGTGGGAGGGGGAAAGCCGAGTGGGCGCCGCCCGGCCGCTTCTGCGCTCTCTCGCCGGCGGGCGGGATAAATGCGGGATTCGGGGCGGCCGCTCGGCTTAGTCGCTGAGCTGAGCGGGAGGAGCAGCAGAGAGGAAGCTCAGCCGCCGCCGCCGCCGCCGCCGCTCTTATTCCCCCGGAGAGGCGCTTCTCCAGCGAGGGCGAGAGAGGTGAGAGCTCCTGGGGGGTGACTTCGCCCTGGGGGTCGCGCTTTCCTCCCTGAGGTCTCCGCCTGGCCCTCCCTTTCCCTTCCCTTTCAATGGGATTTCTTTGCCCCCCTCCCCAGCTTCCAAAAAGGAGGGTTTATTTTGGCGACCCCTCTCATCCTGCTCCCCCCCCCCCGCCCTGTGTACTTTCCCTTTCTTTCTCGGCTGCTTATCAACTTCATGACTAACTCTTCATTACCCTACGGCAGTTCAAGGACACACACACATAGATATGAACATTTCCATTAAGGTTGTTCTTTCCTCTTTTTCGGATTGAATTCGGGTTGAGTTTGTGGGACGGGCTGCGGCGGCTGGGAAGCCAGAAATAAATAACTGCTGGGTTTGCAAAAGCCCCCCTGTGCGGTTTATTGAGATGAATTCACAAGGGCTCTTTTTGCCCCTCTTCTTCCTCCAAATCTGTCATGTGCGTAGTAAATGAATACTTGTAAATTCCCAAAGCCCACAACTATGCGGTATATCGGGGGGGGGGTGTTGTTATTTTTTGGGGGGGAGAAGAGCTTCCCAATTTAGTTCTCCGATTTCCATCTCCAGAAGAAGGAATGAGTGTATCTGAGATTCCCCCTTCGGTACTTTTCTGCTTACCCTTTACCCCGAATTTTGTGCGGTCAGGGCACCCTTGGAAACATGTCCGGTCAAGTTACTAGCCCCTACGAAAACTTCATTAGCTCACATTCCCGCCAATACTTGTAGCAGGAGCTTCTTCTTTTTCCCCTAGGCTATTCAAAAGAGCTCATTCTTATCCTGGGGCGGGATGAGATTTTTATGTGCTATGGCTGAATGGTAATTTACAAATGTGGCATAGGGCATCAAAGGAGTGCCATAAAGAGAACAGGTGACTATAATAAAAAGTGGGCGTCTCAGTCCTTACATCTTAGTCTGGGGCTGGATATGTTGCTCATACGGTAGAAACGATCTGCAACACAGACAGATGTCCTTGTCTGCCTCTGTAAGGTAATGGTCACCACAGGGAGGCTTTTGAAGCACCTCTAGCTTTTCTTCTCTTGCTGGTGGGTGTAAAAGTGGTAACAGCACAACTGAATTTAATGAAGTTACGCTTGTATAGGGAATATCTAAGAAATATTTAGCGTAGAGCATATCCCTGGAAAATGAGAACATTAAAGAGATGTTCAGACTGGAGTTGATAATTTTCTTATCTTTTGTTTTCTCCCCCTCTGTGTGTCTGGGTTTGAGAGAGAGATGCTTTTCTTGAACTATGGGGACACTTGTGAAATAACTGTGAAACTTAATTTGCTTAAAATTAGACAAGAATTTGTTTAAAATTAGACAGTACAGTGCATCTCATGGCCTCAGTTGGTAAGAGCCCAATTCAAAATATATTCTGTGAAATACTGGTCCGTGTGTGTGGATTCTGCCTAAATCTCTGTAGTGTCCTTTTGTACCAAAGCAAATTATAAATGGCTTACAAGCTATTCACATAGCAGACAGACAGTTTTTTATGCTCTTGCATACTTTTATTTTTGGAAGTGGAATCTTGAGCTTGAAGCCAAAGAATATTTATTTGTATAAGAATTTCCATTTGGTGTTGAATTTCGCCACAGAATCAAAAGGGCAATTTTGCCTCATTTCTAGCCCTCCTATGTGTGAAGGTGCTTGACATGCCCAGTAATAACTTGTGTGGACACTTTTTTTAAGAAGATGGGAGGAACACATGATTTGTTAGAAAGATACATTTTTCAAAATTGCCAGTTTCTATCCAAGACCCATCTGTTCTGGACTTGCTTTCCCCCCAAATAGATTTATAATAGGACAGAGGACATGGCTGCTGTACTGGTATCTGAAGTCTAAAGTACAGCGTAGTCCGCTTGACTGTATTGGTTTTTAAAGAGCTTGCTGGAAGATATTAGTCAAGCAGTAGATTATGAGAGTAGGGTATAGTATCAGAATAGTTAACTGTACTGCAACTAAGAACTGTAGGTCATCTAGCATGTAATGCTCTAAAACGACATTTTGAGGGCACAGCAGCATTGCACATGCCCTAAGAACATCATAAGAAGCTGCTGGATCAGGCCAATGACCCATCTAGGCCAGCATCCTGTTCTCACAGTGGTCAGCCAAATGCTTCTGGGAAACTCGCACGCAGGATCTGAGCCCAAAAGCACTCTCCCCTCCTATGGTTTCCAACAAGTGATATGCAGAATCATTACTAACCTCCAGCCATGGAGGTGGAGTGTAACTAACATGTCACTGTTGGTTGGGTGTAACATTCTTTAATAAAGGCTGGAACTGTGTTTTTGTCATCATCTTCTTGAGCCATCCTACCTGAATTGAAAGGAAGGGCTTTTCTGGTGGTGGGAATCTAAACAGTTAGTCGGAAATGGGATGAACCTTTTGTCCACTCATTCATGGCAGTGGAATGTCTTTTCTAGTTAAAGCTTGGCAAGGCGTTTGGCTCTCTAACGAGCAATTGCCGACAACATCCTTTGAGTAACTGCTTGAAGTGAAGAATTAGGTCAGCCACAAAGTACATGATCTAGAAAGGCAACATTTCTTTCTCCAAAACAGTTTTAGAGTCCACCTGAACAATTAAGAGCGCATCCAAGACTTGCAGTGGAATAAATAATAGGCACAAAATAAACAGTAGTATTGGTTTATAGATAGTTTTCTGGGGGTGTACATATTTTGGCCCTGAGAGAGGTTTGAGCTTCCTTATTCACTGAATTTCAGTAGAAGCTATTTTAACACAGTTCTTGCATTTTGTTCCAAGTATAACTATAGCTGACAATTTGTCTTGCATTCACTTGCTAACCTCCCAGGTCTGTGTGAACATTTTGGAAACTGAAATAATTTGAGATGGGACCTGTGCAAATTGGAACAGTGGTGTACTTTCAGGATTAAAAATGTATCCTACTTAAAATTTTAATAATAACAATAACTTTACTGGATCTTCTCTTGAAGATATGGGCTGGATTAGCTCTTTATTTACACGACAGTTCATTGTTGTAAGCAGTTGTGTTCTAATTCTTAAGTTTTGGCATACTTTTAATAGCTTGCTGCTTTTTTCTGAAGAGGGATGTTTATGTTCGTTGCATCTTTGATAACATTCAGTGCCTTTTCACAGGTAGTGAGCAGATAATCAATATGGCATCACATAAATTAATATGGGTGTTTTAGGAACAGTTAATTCTGCATCATCAGTCCTTTTAGTGTATTGTTGCCTTGTAAAACACTGTATTTCACAAGATAAGGGATAATAAAAGAAAACATCATGGTGAAGAAACACATTTGAAGAAATTAAAGGTTGTTTTTGACCTAGTAGCAGTTAGTAACCAACACATATTTCGCAATGCATCAAAATATTGTCATCACTGCATGTTTCTCAAGAACACAACTGTAAGGCTTTAGTTCTCTTTACATAACATTTGATAGGATCATCAGTATGTCAAATGAGTGTGCTGAAGGAAACATTCTAGATTGGTGTTTCAAATAACTTTCTTCTTACCAGTGGAATTTTGGTTTTTCAATTGGGAGCAAACATTTTGGACATGGACAAGGGTGGTCTCCCTCCTCATTCATCAGTCTTCCTCAACCAATGGTTGTAGTGGCTGGACTAGATGGGAGTTGACTCCAAAACATCTGGAGGGTACCGTATTGGCTACCTCTGATTAAAACATCTGGAGGGGCACCCGGTTGAAGAAGGGTGTCATAACACCATTTGGCCTATCTAGAGAGATACTTAAACAAGCTTTCACATGTGTTCTAGACATCCTGACTGTGTCCTTCAATGATGAGTAATTATTGAGCATTTTATGGATCATAGCTATATTTTTTATATATAAATTAGTAGGTAAGACTCCCACTAATGGCAGCAGCATTAATGCAGATTTTTATATCTCCAAATGGTGGAATAATGGAATGTGCAACTTCAAAGGAGAAGTGTTTCTTCAAAGCTTATTTTTCTATAGTAATAGTAGACATGGTGATGACTGGTGCTAAATCATAAGCCTCTTCAATACAGATTCCTTAGCTTTCTTCTGATGACTGCTAATGTACTTTACTGAGTAATTACACCTTCTTACTGTCAATGTTTGCATACACTGGCGGAAGAGATAAAAAAAAATTGTTTTGTTTTCACATAGCCTTCCCAACCTTGTATCTTTAAGTTGACAGTAGAACTGTCAGTTTTGACAGCTTAGTTATACATAATAAATGAGGGCTCCAAACATATTTTGAATAAACTCACTTTAGTTGTAGGCAGATATTACTTATTTTGCGTCCTCCATCAAGGAGGAAAAATACATTTATGTATTTAGAAAGGTTCATGCTCTGAATGTTTAGTGAATTCATCTGCATGTAAGAGTGCCCTCTGCTGTCTAAGCTAGCTAAAGGAGTGCATCTACTTTGTTCTCTGTTTTGAGTATCTATTGTTGTTTAGATAAAATAACAATACTGTATCCTGATGTATAATTTGTCAATACATGTGGAGCAAAGACTGAAATCTATGTTAATGTCTTAAATGTCAAAATATTTCTGTCACTTACTCTCTTATTGCAAATAGAATAAGAATAATTTCAATAGAATGAAAGCTCTTGAAATAGTTATTTGTATGCAAAATATATTTTGTTTAGAATCTGAATGGTTTTTGTGTCCAGACTACTACTACTCCCAAAAAGTTAAGGGTAAATGGTATGAGTCTCATTCTGCCCCGAGGCTAAAAATTGTTGGTCTGAAGTAGCATCAAATATAAACAATATTGTGAAAGGCAACTTTAAGAAAAAACATGTAGATGCTTTGCATTCAACAAGGGGAAAACAAAATAAGTATATTTGAGCAAGAATGTTTAAAGAACTTTGGGATAGCAAACAGAAGGGGCATAGAATTAGTTAAAATCCTTTTGCAATTTTGTGAGAATATGTGAATATTCTTTTATGAAGGACCATGCGGGATTTGACATCTTTCCGCTGGGCCTGCAAGATAGAGCTGTTCCGCCTGGTCTTTGGCTTAGACTCACTCTGACCCCTTATATGGGATTTGGTATATAAATTTTCCCTTGGCTTTTTTGCTGGCCCATGTAGGACTAGCATGGATAGCTGGCTCGGGTGAATATCCAATGTTTCCTCCCTTTATGGTCTTGATTTATGGGCTACTACTAAAATGAGGCTGCATTTTTAGCGGTATTTTAAGCTGTATTTTAATTAACTGTTTTTTCCCCCCATTGCGTTTTATTGTAATTTATATTTGGTGTTAGCCGCTCTGAGCCTGGCCCTCGCCGGGGAGAGCGGGGTATAAATAAAAAAATTTTCTTCTTCTTCGTCTTATATATATAAATAAAGTGGGTTCTTTAATAGCTCCCTTCTTTCAATTATATGATATTCACTAATTTATATTGGCTCATTTTCTTCTTTCTCTCTTTATTTTTTATTTGCTGACATATTATTATGGATTATCATAGTAATTATTGCTGTTTAAAATTAATTTATAATTTCATGTATTTTTGTAAATTGTGCGGTTATTGCTTGAATTTCTGTTTCAGTTAAAATAAAATATCAATAATAATTTTTCCTTCTAGCTTTTTGCAGGCTTGAGGTTTTTCACCTTTTTCTAAAATAATCCTGAATTTCACCTATCCAGTAACTTTAATACAGTGTGTGTGTGGGAATGGGGCGGGAGGTAGAATAGGAATCTGAAAACTTGACTACCAAGTAGCTGCATTTAATTTATATTCCTAGTCAGATTTTCTGGGCAAAACCCTCAAAGTTTAGAACATTTTTTTAAAAAAAAGAACCTTAAAAACAATATATGATACATGAATAATTAGAACAACAGTTAAGAAACATTTTGTCTAATGGATTTCTGGGAAAAATAATGTGTCATGAATAAGTTTTGTGGTGCAAAACAGGCATATAAAACTAAAAGGCTCTAGTAAAAAAGATGTTTTGGGGAAGTAGTAATGAAAGGGACAGTTCAGAAACCACAGGAAGAGCTATGTATATTTTTAGTATAACTTTTTTCAATTACAATAATGAGAGAGTACTAAAAATGTGGTGTGCATTGTGTCTCTACTTTGTTGTGAAATTTTCAGTAACCACTCATCTAGCTGAAGCTTTAGATTTGCATTTCTAGTCAAGCAAAGTCTATATATCTGAAATTAAATCCACTATAATAATGTTTATTAAACAGAGTTGCATCTACCAGCAGAGCAGTTTTCACCACTAGTGCTTGATCTCGTAGCCACAATGGCTCCTGCCACTGTGTAGCTGCTGTGACCACTTTTCCATTTTGTTCTTGAGCTATTTTGGGATAGGCTCTTATTAGTTACCAGTTCGTCTTCCTCACTTCTCAGTATGCCTCAGAGTAGATTCTCCTGAGCCCATATAACTTTCTGAGTCAAGGAGCCGCAGGGCAGCTTGTACAAAAAATTTGGTGCTTTGCAGGTTAACAGATGCTGCAGGAGGACAAATGGTCAGATGAAGACTTTCTATGATGCTTGTGATAACCTGATAGGTTAGCCAATGTGGAGCCCTCCAGATACTTTGGACTGCAACTCCCATCATCCCTGGGCATTCTGGCTGGAGCTGATGGAGTCCACAACATCTAGAGGGCAACATGTTTGCAACCCCTCGACTAGGCATTATTCAAGAATTGCAATATGCTACAAGTAGACCATTGAAGTTTTAATCTGACACCGAGGAGGAGGATGAATCTAGCATGTGTGTGGTATTTCTGAATTGGAGAGACTTTGGAGGAAAAGGAGTGAAAAAAATGAGGTGTTTTTGCATTTGGTTTAACTGTTGACCAGTTCAGCATACTGTATGCAACTATTTTGAAGCTGCCTTTCTCCCCTAAATTAATCACTGTAGGTAAGGAAGTGCTGGTTCTGGGAATATGGTGCAAGCCTGAGCATTATAACACAGGGAAGGGTTATCTATCCGCTCCTCACCTATATTGCCCGCTCCAACCATAAATCACGTAGTACTATAGAGGCAGAGAAGCTACATGTGCAGCTCCAACCTGAACAGTGTGGAGGAAAGTGTTCTCCCTCTTGTTACTGGTTGTGGGAATTCTGTGTGTGTGTTCATGCTCCTTGTTGAAAGGGGTGAGGGTGGAAATGGCCTTTTTGGGATTAGCTCTTCCTCTTGTTTTTATGAAAGGTGTTTGCACTGGCTTTCAAAAACTTTCCTCCTTCCTTAATTTATAGCTGATGGAACCTTTACATTTGCCATCAAGCATGACCTTGACTCCCTCTTATGGAAAGCTGCTTAATGTGAGATTTCCAAATGCATCCTAGCATTCTCATTGAAATTCTTTCCTGGGTTCTTGGTCTACAGTTTAACTACACCTCGTGGCAGGATTGTGCCCCACAGATGATGCCACAAATTATGCTTATGAAGTCTAGTGCTTAAGACTGAAACTTTTATCTTTCAAGAGAAGAAGATTGTATTTGACATGTTTCTGCCTTTTTAATTTTCTGTAGGCAGACTGACTTTCTTGCTGCAAAATTGTCTTAGCAGCACTGACATGGTCATGTGACACTTGTATTCATGCTTAATTCTCAGGGGTAAAGTCTGAAATCTTTGCGGCGTGCATTATTTTTTAGCCCCAACAAAGCTCTAAAATGGATATTATCACTATCATTTTTCAGTCTTGCAATTATTTATTATGGGAATGGTTGGCCACCCGTGGTTTCGCCTTTCTGTTTCTCAGGCATATTGCTTCAATTACACAAACGCTATCTCTCCTGTCTGGGATTATTCTGGTGTTATATCTTCCAGTGTTGGTAGGAGAGAGAGAGAGAGCACAAACATGGTGCTAACCCTGTTTCATGGGGTTAGAGGAAAGGCCACAGTTCCTCTTTTCAGTTTGTAACTATTTTGAGGAAACTTGAGGGTAAACAGGTAGCTTTAACAGGCACCCCCAAACTCGGCCCTCCAGATGTTTTGGGACTACAATTCCCACCATCCCTGACCACTGGTCCTGTTAGCTAGGGATGATGGGAGTTGTAGTTCCAAAACATCTGGAGGGCCAAGTTTGGGGGTGCCTGCTTTAACTCTTTAATAAAAAAAGAGAGGACGGTTATCATGGGAGTTCCCTAAATGGTCTGTATTGGGAATGTTGCAATTTAATTTGTTTGCCATCTTGACTGGATCAGTGAAGTACTCAGGCTTGTAGATGACACCAGATTATTTCAATAGACAAGCTGTTGTTTGGTGATAAAGCATATGGTAGTGCATGTGGAATGTGTTGTATGTAATATCATGCAATTCCATTTAAAAGTACCTCTGGTAGCAGGGCTGTGAAATACCTTGGAATGACAGCAGCTCTGTAGAGTAGGGATAGTCAGTTGGTTTGTTTTTTATTACAACTTCCATCAGCTCCAGCTAGCATGGCCAATTGTCAGGTTGTAGTCCACAACATTTAGAGCAGGTGTGTGGAATATTTGGCTCTCCAGATGTTGATGAACTCCAACCTCCGTGGACAATGGCCAAATCCTGGAGCTTGGGGGACCTTTAGAAACAGTATGGGATATAGATAGCTGAAGAGCGAAGAGAAATTGGAAGAAATCACCCCCCTCCAAGAATGGAGGAGCAACATGGGATCCACGCCAATGTAGTGGCCTCTTACTTAAGCCCTCTGCTGAAAGCTTATGAATGGTTCATTTCTCTTTATTTCTGGAAATATGTGCCCTCGATAATTTCACATGAATCTAATCTAGCCAATAAAGTCTGTTCCAGGAAGGCTAATATAAGACTAGCTTTCTTTGTAATGGGCACACTACAATCATATTTAATGTGTTTGGTACTCCTTTAATGATAAGATAAATGTTGCTTTTTTTGCTCTTTGTTCTGCTTCTAGTGACCAGATGTGTAAGTGAATATTTTCATTGATTGCTACAATTTATTTGGCTCTTGAGAAGGTGAGGGGCCAGAACACTCCCCCACCTTTCCCAATGGCTTTTCCATGTGGATGGCAGTTTCAGATCTCATCTTAATAGAACATTTAAAAAGTGAGAAGCGTACTTGTAAAACTTTCCTAAGCTATAATTAGGAAGCTGGAGGTTTTCTCTGTGCAGTAAACAGTAGTTTAGCAGTAAATTGAGGCATTATTCAAACAGAACAGAGTACAGTTGACAGCTATGTCTCCATGTCAGCCCATTTCACAGTTACTTGCTTAACTCACATCTCATAAAGTGGAATAAATGTTTATTTGCTAGTTATAAGTAAAACTGTCTCTCACCCACCCAATCCTAATCTTTCTACAAAGTACTGCTGGTGGTCAACAAAAGAGATTTAAAGACTGTCTTAAGGCAAATTTTAAAAAATGTAGTATAAACACCAACAATTGGGAAACACTTGCCTGCGAGCGCTCCAGTTGGAACAGCCTTTACCAAAGGTGTCATGGGCTTTGAAGACACTCGAACTCAGGACGCAAGGGAGAAACGTGCTAAGAGGAAGGCCTGTTGGCAAATCCACACCGTGGTCAACTCCTGCCCGGAAACCAATGTCCCCACTGTGGAAGGATGTGTGGATCCAGAATTGGCCTCCACAGTTACTTACGGACTCATTGTTAAAACTGTGTTTATGGAAGACAATCTTACTCGGCTACAAGTGATCACCAAAGAAGAAGACATTTATAGTATAACAAGTTACATATTGTAGAGGCAAACTTACATGCCTGATTTTGGAGGGTGGAAATCCTTTTGGCTCTGTACCATTCCTTTAACCCATACCATCTGAATTCAGAACAAGCTGAAACTCATGATTTTGGGGGTGGGGACAGGGGGATAGGCACGTGAATGAACAATGTTAAAGTGTCCTGAAATAGATGGAAGCTGTTCAGTTTTAAGTGTTCAGTGAAAGGTTGCAAAAATTGACTTCAGTAAAAACAAAAAACACCAAAATTTGAAATATTAAAGTTGTAGTTCACCGGAGATCTCCCTATGGCCTTCCAGATGCTGTTTGACTCAAACTCCCCTCAGGTCATGCTAGCAGGGACTGGTGGTACCTAAGAGACAAACAGCATCTCGAGAGCCACAGGTTCCCCACTCCTGCAGAAGAATGCAGTGTGCCTAAAATTAAAATAGGAAAGAAGAATCTGGTCCCAGGCATGATTTCTTGCATTCTGTGGCAGCAGCAGCTTTGGAGGTGTAGAAGCATTTTCAGATGGTTCAGAGAGAGAATTTTTACTTGAATTTTGAGGTTCTCTCACAACACACACACACATGCATACACTCATTTGTTTTTCTGTGATGTGATCTCACATAGTGGAATGTTGTGTGTGAATGACGCAACCATGTGGTAGGGACAGATTGAGTGGTATTTTCCCATGTAGTCAGCATGATCTCGCAATACAGAAAAGCAGCTCCCACACAACTGCAGCTAGGTGTGAAGGACACCTGGGACTTGCTAGCTTGTCAGCAAATAGTCTGTTTTGATGACACTGTGCCAGTGAAGCCACAAGTTCAGCCACTACTTTCGGAAAATCTGAGCAGTGTTAACTCTGTTACCAATAATTGGGGTTTGTTTTGGGTTTTTAAAAATCCATTCATTCTTACTCACTCCCAGTTCTTTCTTCTTCTGTTGCTGCATATTATCCTAGAACAGCCCCTCAACTTCATGTCTAGGATATTCTGGGATATTCAATGAAGAAGGCAGCTTTTTATAGTTTACAGAGTAGGGATGGAAGGTTATATCACTTCTGGTTCTCTCAGTTTCAAAATTTCCAATCTTCAGTCTACTTCTCTACAATGTGCAACAATTTGCTTTTTTACATATAAAAAAACCATCATGGAAATTATTCATCAGATTTGTGCGAATTTCTCCGAATAAACACATTTCGAAATGCAGGCTTGATTGGTATACATATTTTTGCAAGCAGTTTTCCTTAGTACAATTGATTTTTCTATGTTTTTTTCATTAATATTTTCTTTTTGATGAACACTTTGCCATACATTATGCATTTTTGTAAACACTGGTTGGGGAATTGCATTGCAAAATTTGGATGAGTGCAAATTTTGAAGGCTATCTGTGCTTCATTTCATATATGGAGAGGTAGGAGTCTGGATTCGTAGACTGCACTGATCATGGGGTCATTTTCTCTTGAATCCAAGGCAGTTAACTCATTGGAACTCACATTTTTTTCAAGCATTTCAAGATGGAAGGGCGTGGGATTAGGGAGATTTTAAGAAGAGAACAGAAACCTTCTCTATGCTCAAGTAGCAGCAAGAAGAAAGCATTGAATGGAAGATAATGGACTTTTATAGCTGACCAGGGCACATCTCTATCGCTTGCTTATAGGACATAGAACCAACTCCTAAGAAAAGCTTAGGAGAGGAGCATAGTGGATTCAAGAATACAATCATGTCTGCCACAAGTCCAGAATGTAGAAGGAATATTTTTTAATTTTTGGTAATGGTAATAATTAAGTTTCTAATGCAATCAAATCAGCAGGGTATAAAGCCCAGTAGCTTACCAACTCTTTATAGAGCCAAATAAGAGTAAGATTCTGATATTTGGGCTACTGAGCCTAGGGCTTGCCGATCAGAAGGTCGGTGGTTCGAATCCCCACGATGGGTTGAGCTCCACGATGAGTTCCTGTTGCTCGGTCCCAGCTCCTGCCAACCTAGCAGTTCAAAAGCACGTCAAAGTGCAAGTAGATAAATAGGTACTGCTCCGGCGGGAAGGTAAATGGCGTTTCTGTGCTCTGCTCTGGTTTTGCCCGAAGCGGCTTAGTCATGCTGGCCACATGACCCAGAAAAACTGTCTGCGGACAAACGTCGGCCCTTGGCCAGTAAAGTGAGATGAGCACCACAACCCCAGAGTCGTCCGCAACTGGACTTAACTGTCAGGGGTCCTTTACCGTTACCTTTACAACAAGTTTATAAACCATAGTTAGGATTTGATTTAATATACATGTCTAGGTTAGCAGTCTGAGCATGATTTCCAGTCACTATAGAGTGACTGGAGTATTTACTGTACATAGTGCAAAATCACACATATAACCAATACGACAGTTGTAGCCAGCGTGGGTAGTCTCAGTCAGCATGACCAATGATCAGGGACACTGGGAGTTGAAGTCTAACATTGGAAGACACTGTAGTGGTTACTCCTGATATAAAAACACTTCATGTGCTTTAAAATGCAACCCTAAATACCTTTTCTGACTTCAGATCCTGAACTGATGACTTAAGCTTGCCATCAGTCCTGTTTTTCATTCCTTCTAGACTCTTTATCATATAACAGTAGTCAAAGTTTTTTTTTCTTTTGAAAGGCTAGCTCTAAGGGTGCTGGATTTAAGGTCTGAATTTGTGGAGATACATAAAGGCATATGACTTTCAACCAGTGGGGACAGTACCTGCAAATAAGTGCTATAGAGAACCGACTCTTCTGCTCAGTCCTTAACTTTGTCTGCTTCCCCCTCTCCTTTTAGATTGTTTTGGGTTAGGAATCATGAACGGGCGTCTTCCTCTCCTCTTTGCTGCCTTGATCTCTGCGTGCCTTTGCTTCCCACCGAGTCCTCTGTCTCTTGAGGAACTGGGCTCAGACATTGGGATCCAAGTTTTCAATCAGCTGGTCAAAAGCAGGCTGAAGGAGAATGTTGTGGTTTCCCCGCATGGAATTGCATCAGTACTTGGAATCCTTCAACTTGGAGCCGATGGCAAGACAAAGAAACAGCTAACAACCGTGATGAGATACAGTGTAAATGGTCAGTTGTTTTGATCTGTTGTTGTGGGCTTTGGGGTCTTTGTGTTCTTATGGGAAATTGCGGTATAGGTGAGAATTATTTTAGTCACTGATACAAAGTGGGTCTGATATCAAAAACAGTAGATACTGTGTTTGAGAACACTAGCCAGTTATCATGGTCTAGTGTGTATTAAATAAGTGACAGTGAAGCAGTATCTCTAATACCCGAAGGCATCTTTGGGCACAGTGTGAAGCATTGATGCTAAACACAGTAAGTTCAACAAGGACTGTCCTCGTGGTTCCAAAGAAAACAGAGTTGAGTATCATTGACAGGCTTGTAGGGGAAGAATAAAATGCCCCTTTATGTGGGACTGGCAGCTTTTCATGCCTGCCTCCAGATGTTGACTAAAATATCCCTGCATTTAGTGATAAATTAAATCCACAGTACTACAGTGGTGCCTCGCAAGATGAAATTAATTCGTTCTGCAAGTTTTTTCGTCTTGCGAAGCACGGTTTCAATTTTTTCAAAAAAATCTTCAAAAACCTCAAAAAAGGCTACCACACCGCGTGCTATGAGTTGCTCCCCGAAGTCAAGTCGCAACTGCACCTCTTCAAGCAATGCACCCTGTATTACTGTAACGGTTTTAAGAAAAAGGAAACAAACTTGCAAGACGTTTCCGTCTTGCGAAGCAAGCCCATAGGGAAATTCGTCTCGCGAAGCAACTCAAAAACCGAAAAACTCTTTCGTCTTGCGAGTTTTTCGTCTTGAGAGGCATTCGTCTTGCGAGGTACCACTGTATTGTGGTATCAAACTGTACAGCCTTTCCAAAGTTCTGCTTTTCTACTCAGGATCTTGCTTTTGTCAGGCTGCATTCCTGACACTGGCAGGCATCAGGGTTGCATTCCTAGCCAGTAACCCTCCCTTGACAGGAGCTCACTAGAACTTGTTGCCTCCCTGGGTGTTTTGCAAGTGCCAGTATGATTTACAAGCACAGTTCAGAATGGTAGTACCACCGTAAACATAACTCACTCTATTCATACCTTCCTCCCCAAAATATTAATTATAATGGAACATTTCCCTATGCCTACTGAAACAAGAATACTGTAATGTACTAGCAAGTTCACTATTGCACCATGATTTATTTTTTCTTTTGGGAAATGGAAATCACATATTGCTGAGTCCTTTTCCAAACCCTGAAGATAAGAACTCTTTTGTGGAGTAATCTTGAATACCAAGAATTTTATACATAATAGATCTATTTAAATCATCTGCAAGCATCTTGGTCCGCTGATATTTTTTTCCTGATTATATTCAGACCATTCTTGTCATGGAACTCCCTACACAAAAGTTTAAGTACTTTTCCCCAGCCACTTTGCATTGGAACGCCAAACAGCATGACACCTTCATGGTAGGCAAAGCAATTCCTCTCATGGAACTATAGGCCCTAGAGTATGGTTTAGCAAACAGGAGAGCTAGCAGCAAGTCACAGCCTACTTCTATCATTTGCCCACAGTGAACTGCTTAAATAAATTGGTGGCAGTGCCCAGAATTTGCTCTGAGGGTGCGCAATGGGTAAAACAGCAATATTGCAATCCAAGTGTACCTCTGTGATTATATTCATGCCCACCAACAGTGGGTACCTTTCTCAAGGCTTCTTTATCTCTCTTGCAGTTTATCTGTTAAGTGCATTTGATTGATCTGTTGTCTTGGTACATTGCTTGAACTTCGAAAATGGGGCTGTCTGTTGGGCATGTTCCATAATGCCTAAGGTTTGCTTGGCTCTGGAATCCAAACGCATTTGGAAGTAGATTCCACTGGAATAACTGGAACTTGCTTCTGAGTGAACATGCCCCAGATCACAGTTTTAGGTGGCTTCTCAACCTCTGTTTGTGTGCTTACCACTGCTTATTTTGAAGAGGGTATTTTAAGCATTTATTATTTTTTTTACTAAAGATTCTTGCTTGTTTTTCAATCAGGTGTTGGCAAAGTACTGAAGAAGATAAACAAAGCCATAGTCTCAAAGAAGAATAAAGATCTTGTGTCAATTGCAAATGCTGTCTTTGCAAAAAGTGGCTTGAAGCTGGAAGTGCCTTTTGTTTCAAGAAACAATGAAGTCTTTCAGTGCAATGTTAAGAGTGTGAACTTTGAGGACCAGAACACTGCATCTGATACTATCAACCAGTGGGTCAGAAATGAGACCAAGGGTATGAGATGCCAAACAGCTAACTTTTGTCTCCCTCCCTCCCCCCCCCCCGCCTTGTTATCCCGTCTGTCTTGTTTCTGCTCTGGTTGTTAGATTTATCTCTCTTCCCACTCTTATTCACTACTGCTAACATGTAGACCATAAGCTACTTGGAGAAGGAACTGCTCTGTTTTGATTTGGTTATAATGTAAAGCACATTGATGGAGTAGAATAGTAATAAAAGAGTCTTGGATTGAGCAATATCCCTTTGCGTCCCTGGTCCCCAGCACCCCTGACTTAGAGAACAAAGCAGGTAGAACACAGTGTTTGGGGTCAAATAAGGCCACAACTTTCTTGATTACACATGTTAAGAGGTTTGGCATAGACATTGGGTGTAACCATAGAACATCCATCCCGCCTGCTTGGAAGTATTACGGTCGGGGTCAATCCAGAGGCAGGGAGGACCTATGACTTAAATCAAATAGGTTTGCCCCTGTGGGGTTGCCACCTTGAGGAGTGCTGTGGCTCTAGCTTCCACTTGGTGTCTGGAAAAAGCATTTCCGGTTCCAGTATTCTTTTAATGGGATGCCCCTTTCCCTAGGAGAGGCAGGCAGAGGCTTACAACCTCCCCTCCAACAAGCCAACCCAATGCCAAAACCATCACCTGTGTCTTGGATTTGGCAGTATCCCTTTCTGGAGCCTCTAGTCCCTGCTGCAACTGGTCTCTTCCTCTTCAGCTTAACATTTCTTTCCAAATTCTTTGAAAAACTGAGCTTTAAACATCTGAAGCATTTGGACTGATTTTGTACACCCTGCCTGCAAGTACAGGCTGTTCTTTTAAACATATAAAGTCTAAATCAAACTACAAAATAGCCATTAATATCAAATCTTTTTCACTAAACTTGTAACATCCTCTTGACTACATTATCTTCTGTGTGAGCACACAGGTAGTGGCGATTTCTTTGATACTTGCTTATCTCACTGTTTTGCCAAGAACACAATCTCCTCAAAAAAATTCTCTTCTGTCCCTGTATTGATGGAAAGTTCCTTTCCTTCCTTGTGCTTTTCTTTATATCCACTCCTTTGATTGTTCTTTGTTCTTTTTTATGATGAGATCTCAAAGAAAAAGCACCAATGGCAAATAAAGTGGGTAGTATTTGGGCCAGGGAGAAAGCTGAACGTTATTGAAGCCCATTGATTTCTTGTTTGTAAACTCATAGTGTTTAGTAAATTGCTTACTGATTTATATTACTTTTTTAAAAAAACCCAAAACACTAATAAAAAAGCCCATGGACTGATTTGCCCCTGGAATTTAGAGGAAGATTTTGAACAACGTCTTTGAACAACGGAGGGGGAGGGTGTCCCTTAGAACACCCTTCCCCAACTTGGTGCCCTCCAGATGTTTTGGATCATAACTCCCACCAGCCACATATGAGAGGGCACCAGGTTAGGGAAGGCTACATTAGTACAAGATGGATTTCAATGGGTTTGATCCAGGCAAACCTCCAAGTGTATTGAGAATATTTGAAGAAAGTTTGGCAGCGACCCAAGGCTAGTTCCAGGGGTTGGGAGCTCTAGACCCTCTATCAATCTTTCTTGTGCTTTACTAAATCACAGCATGGGTCTTCTGTGCATTCTCTTGGTCTGAATCTTCTTGTAGCTTTTATTTAATGTAACTTGGTATTGAATTGCCCCCCCCCGCCCCTTTTCCCTTTCAGCTTTTCTGATTATTAAGCTTCTTTTTCTGCTCGTAAAGTATAGTGTTTTCTTTTGTGCTTTTCAGGTATGATAGACGGCATCGTATCTCCGGGTTCTCTTGATAGTGAGCTGACCAGATTGGTGCTGGTAAATGCAGTATACTTTAAGGGACTATGGAAATCACGTTTTCAGCCAGAAAACACAAAAAAGCGAACATTCAACGGAGCTGATGGAAAGACTTACCAAGTGCCTATGCTGGCTCAGTTGTCAGTGTTCCGATGTGGTATGTTCAATATTTTTTTTTCTTTGCTGGACTGGTTTTTTTTTTCATCCTTAAAGCAGCAGGTGCCCATCTTGCCTGCTTTCCCCCAGTTTCTGATGAAGGCAAGGTAAAAAAACTGGAGAAACTCAACATGTATAAAACCATCAAAGAGTACATGCTAAATTTTGTGGTGGTGTTGTTTGTGGAAGGCACCAAGCATGAGAACAGCAATGGTTTTGCTGGTATGGCTCTGCACGACAGATAGGGAACCTGTGTCCCTCCAGATGTTGTAGAACTACAAGTTCCATCATCCCTGGCTTTGGGCAGTTCTTCCTGGGGTTGATGGGAACTGGAGTGTGTGGAACTGTCATTGTTTCTTTGGTGTGTGCACCCACTAGTATTGATGCTATCTGCGGCCCCCTTTTTATCCTAAGCTTGGCTATGTAGTTACCATTTCTTGGCCAGTAACACTTTGATTAGCTCAGATTCATGCTGATTCCTTTGAAAAATACTTCATGATGATTTCAGTTGTCTTGGAGGAGGCAGCTAATGGAAGTCTCTGCCTGCTGAGAAAGAAGTGCTCTGATGGTGTTTCCTGCTTGGCAGGGGGTTGGACTCGATGGCCCTTGTGGTCTCTTCCAACTCTATGATTCTATGATTCTAAGTGATTCAGCACGAGCATTTTAAATCTTGTAACATTTCCAAACTCAGTTCCAATCTATCATAGGGAGTGTTTGAACAAAATGAAGTGTTTTCGAAGAATGCGGAACCAGTGTCCTTGCAGATGATGCTGGATTCCAGCTCCCGTTAGCCCCAACTAGCATGGTCAGTAGTCTGGGAAGATGGGAGTTGTAAGTCAACAACAACTGGAAGGCCACAGAGTTCCCAATCCTGTGCTACTTTATCCCTTTCAGAATTCCCTCTTCCAATGAGATGTGGTCAGGTGTCCTTTCATTCTTGGCAGAAATCCAGCACTAACAGCTCCGATCTTCTGTTGAAACATTTTGTGTTGATAGATAGCATATGGTCTTCCTAATAAGCATTAGTACTCTCATCCCCTTAAAGAAACCCAAGCTGGATTAACAGGTTTTAGCTCCATAATTCATAATTAAACGTTCATACCTCAACACATGCATCAAATTGAGACTCTGAATAAAAATGGAGGGGGTGGGAAGTGAGAACAGCTTTTAAAAATTGCACCAGTTAATTGGGGGCCAAGCACATAGAGTGCAATATTGTGCATGTTTGCTTGGAAGCAACTCCTACTGGGTTCAATGGGCTGACTCCCTAGTAAGTGAATTAGGATTCCAGCCCACTTTGGAAAGTCTTCATTAGCTTGTTCATTTTGATTAATTAAACTTGGCAACTCTAATACAAATGCTAGCTTACAAAGATTCTGTATTTCACAACAGACTATTGCTATTTGCAATACTGCAAATCTATAACGGGATGTTTGATATTTCAAGATTTCTGAAAGAGGCACCTTATTGCTAATAAAACTATTACTGTAATCTTTTGAAGTTTCCAGTTGAACCTTACATTATTACTAGCAGGATGCTTGTTTAAATGCTGAATGTAAAGAACAATGAGAATAGCTAAAAAAGGGATAACATGAGTCCTTAAAAATTAAAAACCTTTTCATATTTCTGTTGAAGGTACCCCATTCTCCTTAGCATACGCAGCATTTGAGAATAGAAGCTTTTTACTGAAACTCTATAATACCAACTGGAAAACATTGTGCACGCAATAATAATTTGCTGTAGTTTTTCCAACATTGTATTTTTGTTGTTTAGCTAAGCCACCTGATTTCTCATATGGATGTCCTGCAGGAGCGTCAAGAGTCGATGTTCTGTTTGAATCCTTTACCTCTTTGATGATAGTTTTAAAAACTTAATATTTACACGTTATCATTTGGCCAGTTGCAACCTTCTTACAGTTTTAACATTAATTCTTATCCAAAGAGAGCAGTTCTATTTTTAGGACTGTTTTCTTGCCCAGTGTAATTTTTTGGGGTGCGAGGTGGCAAAAGGAAGGCCGTCTGTTCTGTGTTTGGTCTGCCCTAGCCTCACGTAGCAGGGAAATTCAGCTTGTATATAAAGAATCTGCTGAAGACATTGCTAGATTTTGGTACCTTTAGGTAGCAAACTTCCTTCTTCCAAAGAATGCCATGTTCATTATTGTTATGCTGTCACTGAGATAGCTCGTGTCACCTATACTAATAGCGAATTCAGGTGCTGTTACTTTTATTAAGTAGAAATGATAACAACATTTATATATCACTTGATGGTTGTAAAACCTCTAAGCTGCTTGCAGCATTATTAAAATTATCAATAAAACAGATCGCAATATTTAAAGATAATTAAAGTTAACTGTAAAAAGGTTAAAACACACCCATATCTGTGGGTCTGGGCAGGCTTGCCTGAACAAAAATGCTTTAAGTTGTTGTGGCAGCTTTACAGTGAAAACAGGGCTGCTGAAGCAGTAGGTATCAGCATCTTCAGGGAAGCTCCAAGGCTTGCAGAAGTACAAAGCAAAAGAAAAGGGGGGACACTGTCCTCTCAAAAAGGCTCAAAGACAGACATACTTAGAGCTGCAAAATGCTTGGGTAGTTGGGGCAAGCAATGCGTTTGCTGTATTTCCTGACTGTTTTCTTGATGTCCTCATAATACCAGATTCATGGCTAGTGTTCAGAAGTTATGTAGAGACAGTTGGTATGACACTTGGCCGGTTTGGGGATGTCTTTGCCCCAGTTTCGAACATGGCATGAGAAGATAGGGAAAGCCCCTTTTTTTTGTTTCTGTGTGTCTCTTTCCTTTCAGCTTTAATCCATTGCAGAACATTGAGAAACAATTGCTATCAGTAACATGCTTCACATGCAATTATATTCAGGTATTCCACCCTGGTATATGCAGTAGTGAAAAGGGTGGGTTATGCATTTTAAAAAGTTTAGTTGTGGCACCACAATTTCTGTAACATTCTTTAAAGGAGGCTTCACCAGCCCGAGGAAGGAGATGGTTTTAGGGCAATGCTGGTGGAGCAGGGAAAGAGAAATAGTGATTCTTACCTGTGCATTTCATTGGCCTTTTACTTGTGTGTGAGGGTGTTTATATAAACATTAAGAACATAATTTACGGAGCATAATAATAGTCAGAATAATAATAAAATAATCACAAGAACAGGCCTCTCCCCACACACATTTAACAGGCCATATATTATTTAATGGCTGGAGGCCTGAGTAAAGAGGAATGTTTTCATCCAGCGCCTAAAGACATGTAATGATGGTGCCAGGCGAGCCTCTCTGGGGAGAGCATTGCACAAATGGGGAGCCACCACAGAAAAGGCCTGTTCTTGTGTTGTCACCCTCCAAACCTCTCAGGGAGGGGAGACATAGGGAAGGGCCTCAGAAGACAAGTGGAGGGTCCGGGTCAGTTCTTATAGGGAGAGGCGGTCCTTCAGGTACTGAGGTACCAAGCCATGTAAGGCTTTATAGGTCAACACTTTGAATTAGACCCAGAAACTAATTGGCAGTCAGTGCAGTCAGGCCAGGATCGGAATTATATGCCTTGTCTAGACATGGAATAGTTGGTATTCACCAGTGTGCATTAGAATCAAACTTAATCATAAGTTTTGTTTATTCAGGCCTGTATCAGGATCATTTGCTGAAAACATTGGGGGATGTCATAATGACTCCCTGTCACCCCACAAAACCCCTGAAATTTCCATGAACCAGCCTGTGCAGGTGTGCTGTCTGAAAATCTGTAGCAGCAGAAAACATTGCACAGGCAGAGTCTTCAGACAGTCAGAGCTGGAAGTCTGGGCGGCTGCCTGTTGCTACTTGCTTTCCTTCAGCTTAGCCTGAAAGGTATGAACAAACTCCTTGGCATCAGGATGAACATCATCATAATAATAAATTTTTATTATATCCCACCCTCCCCAGCCAAAGCTGGGCTCAGAGCGGCTAACAGTAAAAATAGCACAGTTTACATAAAATCACAGTCAATTGATTGAAATACATTCTAAAATCAGTTCAGAATCAAATTAATGGCAACCATTGGGCTAGAGTTATATGAGGATTACAGAAGGAGAGAGGGGGTCAGACTGTGCCTTGGCCAAAGGCCTGGTGGTCTTGCAGGCCCTGCGGAAATATGTCAAGTCCCGCAGGGCCCTAGTCTCTTGTGACAGAGCGTTCCACCAGATCGGGGCCACAGCTGAAAAAGCCCTTGCTCTGGTTGAGGCCAGCCTAACCTCCCTGTGGCCCCGGGATCTCCAAAATGTTTTTATTTGAAGACCGTAAGGTCCTCCGTGGGACATACCAGGAGATGGCTTTTGTGTTTCTCCCATGAGCATGGGAAGAGAAGTTCTGATGGCCAATGGGGCCAAAAGGGAGTAGGAACAAGTGAGGCTCCCCCTCCAGCCTGCAATGTTTGTGGGTGTGCTGGCTTCATCATGGTCTCTTCACCTGCAGAGTGATTAGGAAGGGGAAGAAGTGACCTGCAGGGTCAGGTGCAGGTGAAATGAAAGGGGCAAGTTGGGATATTCACAAGGAAGTTCTGGGGCAAAAAAATGTCATTTTTTTCTGCCTTTCTTTGCCAGCAACTTCCTTGTAGATCCCTAACTCTCCTCCTGCTTCAGGGAACAGGATGAGGACAAGCTGATCCAATTTGTTTCAACAGCTACTTATTACTGAGGCAGTCTTGCAATACAGACTGAAGGTTTTCTTGTCTTGGATTCCCCCCACCCCATCCCTTTTCTTTTACTTGCCCTGTTTCTTTCAGGCACAACAAGTACTCCTAATGACTTGTGGTACAATATCATTGAATTGCCATACCATGGTGAAAGTATCAGTATGCTGATTGCTCTGCCCACGGAAAGCACAACTCCTTTGTCTGCTATTATTCCTCACATTAGCACGAAAACGATACAGAGCTGGATGACAACTATGGTGCAGAAGAGAGTGCAGGTTATTTTACCCAAGTAGGTTCTGTTCCCCCCACTTTATCTCACACATATTTATGTCACCCCTATTGAAAAATCTTTTCGCAGTTGGACTTAATTTCAGTCTCAGGCTGATGCTTTTCTGTTGCTCCCACCAGGTTTACTGCGGAGGCAGAAACAGACTTAAAGGAACCTTTACAGGAGCTTGGCATTCGAGATATGTTTGATCAGTCAAAGGCAAATTTTGCAAAAATAACAAGTGAGTTACCCTCTCATTCTCTTGTCCATGAGTTTTAGGACCAGGGATTTGTGGAAATAATTTGGTTGGTTTGAATTTTATCCCATTTCTCACTGAAATTAAATTATCAAAACACTGCTTTGTGATCTGTCAGTGTCATTTTTTTCATGCCAAGGGATTACCTGGTACAATTTTTTTAGCAGGTGGGGGGAAATGGCATATCTTAATAACAGCATACAGAAGCAGATTGACTTCTCCTTATGTTTATGTATTACAAAAAGGGTTGGCTGCTCCCTGGAATGTAGCATGAGGATGTGTATACATAATATTTACGGCACATATGTTCTGTGTTTGACCCTTAACAGGAACAGGAAACATTCATGTATCTCAGATCTTGCAAAAAGCAAAGATTGAAGTGAGCGAAGATGGAACCAAAGCATCTGCAGCAACAAGTAAGCATTTCACTGCTTCCCCATAATCATCATTAATGCATATAGAAATTTTAGGTTTTTTAAAAATAAAAATAAAATCGTAATTTCATTAATTTTAAAGTATAGCTGAAATGGCATTGCCAAGCCAGAATAATCATTTAACAGACTTTCAGAAAGCACTTGTGCATATTCCACCCCCCCAAGCCGAATAGGAACTTAGGAAGGCAGACCAATGGTCCATCTAGGTCAGTTTTGTCTACACTGACTGGCAGCAGCTCTCCAGGGTTCAGGATGCCTTTCCCAGCCCTGGAGAAGTGGGATATTGAATCTGAGACCTTCTGCATGCAAAGCAGATCCTCTGCCCCTGAGCTAACCCCTTCCCCAGTTATGTCACTCTGCAAGACAAAATTCTTCACTTGGAGATTTTTCTTTTTTTCAGAAAGTAGTATAGAATTTTTCTAAATAAATATAGCTTAAAGCAGGGGCATTCATACACTCACCAGCGCGATGTGACTCTCAGTAGCTACTGGACTTCAGCATTTCCAAATTATAGAGTAATTTGCCCAAATCTAATTATAGTTTAAGAATATGGCATTTTAAGTCTCAGACTGATGCCTTTCTGTTGCCCCCACCTTGGACTTCTTAAAAGGTAAATAGATTAAATTATTCAATTTAGGAAGTACTGTTTAGGCACACCTGCCCAGATACGTAATTTTAAGAGATTATTTGATTGGGTAGGTTGTTTTGCAGTTGCTGTTTTTATTTATATTTTTTTGGGGGGGGGGGGATGATGTTAACTTGCTTTTAATGTTTACTTTAATGGATATTATTTATATAAGCCACATAGAGGGTTTTTTTGTTGATTAAGCAGTTTATAAATCTTGCTAAATAAAGTGTAAAAATAAGTTTAGAACCATCAAGTGACTATTTTTTCCCTGTTTCTGTTTGTCTAAGCTGCAATTTTAATAGCCAGGTCATCCCCACCTTGGTTTGTGGTAGACAGGCCATTTGTATTCTTCATCCGGCACAATCCTACAGGTAAGTAATATTGACTTTCACTGAATTAAATGCAAACAGCCTTCCTCAGGAGACAGAAGCCCGCAGCTGAAAACAGACATCTCTTACATGCTTTCTTGCCTTACGAAATTTGGTCCTCAACCTCCTCCCTCCTTATACTGTGCATAAGAGATTTCTTCTCTTGGAGATAATGCAGCAGCCTGCAGCTGCGCAGGATTTCAGCACTCGAGGGGTTGTTGCCAGGGACTAACAGGCCCCTCTGTTCCACTGGCATATTTATTAGCTCATCTCCATAAATGGTGCATGCTGGAGGTAAAAAGTGCCAACGCTGTGGAGGAAGAGGACTTCTGGCATGAGTTCCCAGACACAGGCAGCTCAGGACATCAAAGGCACATTATGCGATTCCGAAGAGGAGCACTGGCCGGTTGTCAAAACACACATCTCCTCTCTTTGCTCCACTTCGAAACCCTGTTTTTCTTCTAATTGATATTCTAGGCTCAGTATGAGCTAGCTGCTTAGGAAAAACACCTTCTCACCTCCTTCACCCCCATCTCCGAGCAAAAATGACTCACAAGGGGACTTGAGGGACCAGGACATCTTAACACAAAGACACACACACACACACACACACACACACACACACACACTTTATATATGCAACATTTTAGTCATCTCGTTGTCTCCTCCACTACCACCCAGCATCAAAGCAGGCTAAGAACAAAATCTGCTGGCATGCACTGAATATTTTAAAGATGCCATACAGAAGTGGCAGGCTGATTTCAGTGGAATCTTCTAGGAAGTGTTTCTCCTGGTAGCAGACATCAGATGCATAAGTGATTTATTTATTTTTACTAAAGCTGTACCTAGTAGGTCAGATCTTTTGAGTAACGGATCAGAACTGAAAGCCAGCACACTTCGTACATCCACCTTCTCTCATGCAGGGAGGTGTATTGCAGGCCCTTTGTATTCTCTGGAAGCAGCTACGCTTAGCAATACCTAGCGAACATTCAGTTATTAATTCAGGACAAGCCCTCTGTATATAACTTCATAAGAAGGGGCTTTTTAAAGCAGGGAGTTGGGAATGAAATACTCTGGGATTGAGGTTCGGGATGTTTGTTTGTTTCCCTTGTTAAAATTCAGAGGCCCTATTCAGGCAATAAGACCTCAGGGAATACTGTCTTGCTTCTGATTTTTGTAGGTTGCTCTGGAAGTCTTGATGGTGCTTTAAATAAATAAAATCTTGCATTTTCTAGCACTAGCTTTGGGGGCAGGGGAGAGTACCACACATGAGTGGGTGTAGGGATGAGCCCGATCCCTGTCACCCTCTATGAGTTCGAGGGCAGCTGTTTAAAGCAGGGAGCTGTTTAAATCTTCTGGAAGCTCCCCTCGTGATGCAAAGCCCCAATTTCCCACAAGCAGAGAAGTCTTCCTGCTGCAGACACTATGTTTCAAAAAGTCAGGTTTATTTGTTTTAAGTACTTTTTTATCCTACTCTTTAGCCAAAAAGGGTCCCAGGGCGTCTTAACAAAAATCAGCCACAATTCAGTCTCTGCACTGCAGACTTTGATTCTACATACACGGGACACAAGGAAAAAGTAATTACAAGGAAGAAAGAGAAAAGCAATCTCAGAGACCAGGCCTTAAAAGTTATAGTTCTTATAAGAAACAGCTAAGGTATAAATAATTTAGGTAGCCTATTGTAATTGCTGCCACTAGGTGATAGTTGAAGGAAGGGCCAAATGCAGCTGTTATTAAGTAGGCATGCCTGCCTTAGTTTGTTTTATTTTATACATTTATATGCATAGCTGTCAACGTTTTCCCTTTTTTAAGGGGAATTCCCTTATTCCGAATAGGATTCCTCACAAGAAAAGGGAAAAGTTGACAGCTATGTTTATATGCCATGAGAATCTTAACTAGGTGGTGTGTATAATAAACTGAGTTAAAACAATAAAAAGGCAGATAAACTGATATGCTTTATCACATATTTATCAGCAGAAGTGTATAAAGCCACTTATTAACGAGCATCTTACAATATACATTTAAATTAATTCAATAATTTTTTGTTAGTTCTCAGTATGAAAAGATTAAGTTTGACTGGTGGCCGAAGTTTGGAAAACAAATAGTACACATACTGATTGATTGATTGATTGATTGATTGATTGAGTGATTGATTTGTGTAGCGCCCTTCATCTGAAGATCACAGGGCGGTTCACAACATAAAACTACAAAATGAGAACACAAAATACATATTAAAGCAAATTTATAAGGCCATTGAATTTTTAGAGAATTGTTTTCCCCTGTGGCCTAAAGATATGGAATGAAGGCGCCAGGCAAACCTCCCTGGGTAGAGCATTCCACAAGCAGGGAGCCACTGCAGAAAAAGCCTGTTCTAATGTTGCCAACCCTCTGAACCTCTTTGTAGAAGAGGCACATGAAGAAGGGCCTAATCCCCAGTCTGTCCCGACAGTGGCAGACCTCAGGCTCTCAAATTTCAGCGGTGCCCTGTGCATCGCTAAAATTCAGTGTGTCCCTGGTCTCTAGCACTTTGTGTTACAGCAGTGTTGAAGGTGCCCCCTGCAGCATGGTGCCCAGTGCCTTTGCAAAACCAGCTCTTGCCCAAGGCCAAAAACACACCCACTCCACCCTCCCAGGTCTCTGTGATACAGACCAGATCTGCCTCCTCGTCCAGATCATGGGTTTGGGAGGTCTTACTCAGTGCCAACCTGACATTGAGCAACACCAGCCGCAGACCCCAGGGCTGCACACATTCACACTAGAAGGATCTTTATGTGCATTTGAGCTTTTCTTGCTGTCTCCCCCCCCCCCCCCCGACAGCAGATGCAAACTGATGAACAGAGCCACTCTCTGATAACCCACATACACAAGTATATAAAGTGGCTTTTGTGAATTGGCTAGCTGGGAGCTCAAGTCCAGTGTGCATGCCTTGCTTTCTTCCTCTCTGTTCTTGGGAATCATTGACAGTGTCTGCTGAAGTAAAATTGCACTGTACTCCAAAATGTTGAACATTTTTTTAACTCCCATTGATTTTCTGATACTTGAGTGAAATTAGGGGATTTAAAGCTCTTCAGTTTTACCAGATCCTGTTCCTTAGTGTAAATTACTAAATTGAAAGGGAGTCCTTGTCAGGTTTTAGAAACAGGCAGCAAAGTATCTTTACACAATAAAAGCAGAATAGTGGTTTCTACTAGGATAACTTGGCTCTTTAAAACACAAGTTTTATCTTTTTTGAAACTCTGTATCACATGTATGAATGTCTACTGATTTTTAAAGAATTCTTACATATTGTCTGGCGTTTAACAGTACCAATTAATTAAAGTATTAAAATTACATTTTCATATACCAACTCTCGCCTCTGAGAAGTTGAATCCATGGACTTGTGAGAATCACCGTTTAAAAGCAGAAGTACTGTTTCCTTTTAGAAGGAAGTGCAATATTTGATGATATTCCCTATTAAAACTATGCATCAGAATCAAAATGACCTTAAAATTGAGCCTTTATCTTTTAGGATCACAGACTAAAATTGGGTTCCACTTAATAGTCATTAATACATTCAAGCTTGCTGCTTAATTGAAAGCATTCTTGCCTAGATTGTATTGAATGCTGAACCTTCTGGAGGATTTTGTTTTGTTACAAAACAGGTGAATTGTGAATCAATCCAATATCTGCAATAACCTTTTCTTGTTCCACAGGTGCAGTTTTGTTCATGGGACAAGTCAACAAACCTTGAATGTGGGAGATTTTCCTTCTGAAGCAAATTTTAAAATGAATGCCCTTCTTCCGTTGAATATTTTTGTACATTATTATTTGGCTATGAACTAGCATTTAAGTGTGGTTGGTCCAACTAGGTTTTGAAAAGGAGTTTTAAGTAGCTGGGGAGTGTTGTGGAAAAACAGAATGCCTTTTCAAAACAAGATTCTTAAAACTACTGATTAGTTCCCTGTGCTAATAACTTTTGAAATTTGGGGGGGGGGGGGTCTTGAGTATTTTGTATTGTGATTTTAAGTCTTAACCAGAGTTGGAACTAAAGGAGCAACTTTGATTTCTGTTTGGTTTGTACATAAATGCCCTCCTGCTACTATTGCCATCCACCGAGTGGTTTGATGAGGCATCGCCGTAAGAATTTCAAAGCTTTAGCCATTTTTATTTTCTATTGTGCATGCACTGCTGAGACTTAAAACAACTAATGTCCCAGTTAACGCCTTTGCATTGGTGTAATGTTAAACTTGTCATTGCTAGTATACACTTTCTATGGATTTAAATTTTATATTTTTTTGTACAAAGGAAAAAAAAATAAAGTCATTATGAACAGATGAAAGCAGTGTAGTATCAGAGTGATGTTGGCAGAGATGATTCGTGAGTTGGATGTAAAAGGTCGGCTGCCAAGTGGAAGGAAATGCAAGTTTGAATTCTCTGGACTGATGGGATTTTGCTGTGCTCTGGTTTTCGGTAAACAGCTCCAGCAAAGACTGACCTCCATTTACTCAATATTCTGAAATGTTCCAGACTGTACTATGTATGCAGGTATCCTAAAATATCATTCCTGGAGGTAATGCAGGGACAAGATAATTGTACGTTAAGAGAAATTCATTAAAAAGTGTCTACAACTGGTGTAGCACCATAATTAAATACAGAAGAAATTGTTAACTGGACACAGCCAGCTCCTTTGGCTAAAGCTTTTTCCATGTGTGTTTTGGTTGTGTGTACAAATAAGAACGAGATGAACTATGCCATCCCTTGAGACGGTTGGGTTTTGAATACTCTGCAGAGAAGTCCGCATATTTTCCCACCAGCTTGATGAATTTTAGCTGCCCCAACTGAGACCAGGCATTTTCTCTTTACCTCTCAGTGATGTTATACTCATGAAGCTTAATCTCTGTTCAGTTAAATGGAAGTTGTTTCGGATATCAGTTACTGTGGTGAGAATGTATCTGAAAAAGTCAGTGGTTTTTATTTTGTATGTAAAGGGGAAAGAGAAACTCTACATACATTCTCCATACGGTCAGCAATAAATGTTCCTTCCTGTTTTGGAAAAAAATAACCTGTGGTATATTTGACGCCTGTTGACTTTCAACACAGGTTGAAAACTTATTACTACATGTATCTTCATGCCTGTTTTGGAATTATTCCAGTTACCACTTTTGTTGTTCTTATTCATTTATACTTCTTAGGACTGCTTCCCACTTTCCCCAGAACATTGGGCCAGTAGGTGTACAGCTTTAATTAGCAAATTTGCCATGTGATAAAGAGAACTTGTGCAGCTGAGAGAGGGGTATAACTTACATTTGGGATATTAACCTAGTGGTGGATGGTTGCGGAAGGACCCTGAGTGAGAAGCAGGGAAGGGAAGACCTCCCGGGGTGAGAGACCAGGAAAAGAAAAGAAAGCTCCTAAAAGAGAGCTTGGAAGGGTTAAAAACTTTAAGGATTAAGAGCTACCTTTGAGAGAGGACTGCATTTTCTGTTTTCTTTCTCTCGTGTTTTTTTTATTTAGTTTATTTTATCTTACTGCATTATGAAAAAGCTTTAATAAAAATTCTTATTTCTTAAAAAAGGAATATTAACCTGGGAAACTGAAGAATGGATTATCCATTCCAGTGGAGGGGGCGGGGAATAAAGTACTTGCAGAACAGAATCCTGTAATTTTACAAAAGATACCACTTGATTATTATTGTTTGCTATACTATATAGGCTTTTTTTCCTCCAATACGGAAAAGGTAGGGATAAACTGGATTGTGTTTTAACATGCTCTAATGTGCCTAAAAAGCTGGTGTTGGATTTACCACTGTCCCATTTGTGTTAGATAGGAGTCATCCCAGATTATTCTGCCTCTCAGCAGAGAAATGACAAGCAGTTGTTTAAAGAAACAGTCCCTGTGGCTAGCAAGAACAAGCCAGAAACTGAAACCACAGTTTAATCCTGGCTTGTTCTTACTAACCATACTTTTAAACAAGGCACAGTTCCCAGAGGTCAGACACCATGGAGCTATGACTTTTATCTAAAATAAAAAAACCAAAAGTTTCCAATCTCATTGAGGGCTAAAGAGGAGGAAGGCAGGAGTACAGGAGTCTGATGCTCATTCACGTAGCAAGAAACCATTATTTCAGCTGAACTTGTTCTATATGTAAACTCCTGTTTATACTAGGCCTTAGCTAAAGTTTTTTTCAAATATACAACCCCACCCTGAGGAGAAGGTCATAAAATAGCACCTGCTTTAAGCCTCTGCTCCCAAATACTAACCAAAATGGAAGAGCCTTTGAGAAATGGTTGTTTCCTGGAGGACCACAGATGAAAACTCTAGCAGTTGAAGTGAAAAGATGTCTGTGTGGAGACAGCCAACATTTGCTTGGTTATTCTAAGAGCAAATACATTGTTCCCCTGCTTTTTTCAGAAGGAATTGCAGAGGGGAACATAAATATGCCATCTAAATTTTCAAGAATTGCTTAACAATCTTCAGTTTGAACATCAGTGACACCAGAGGAGCGAAGGTTCCACTTTGTAGATAGGAAACTGAGACTGAAAATGACTCGTCAAAAATCATCTGATGCGTTCAGACAATATTTGCATGGCCTATAGTCACGTGAATATTAGAACCCATATTTCTCAGCTGATCACGTGTTTTAATCACATCATTTTGTATTGTCTGGTTTTGCTTAAGACATTCATGCCTTTGTCTCTGAAACTACTAGGCCATGTGTGTTTGAGAGCTTGTTCAGCTTTTGGACAACTAAGTGGTCTAGTTTTAAAAAGAAAAATGTTCTAGCTTTGGTCAGGAAGATTAATATAGCTGCTCCTTATTCCTATAAACTCAATTATTAAGCATTCTGCTCAAGTAAGAAATGTGCAAGTGGGAAACCAATTAGTGCAAGAGGTTTTGTACACCGGTCACCCCAAAGGAGGCACCTGCCTGATCCTGCTATTCCCCATCTTAGTATTTGGTTCAGCAGGAGTCTGCATGAGGGGTAATGTAGTTTATGAGCATCAGGGCCCATTCAATTGCAGTCTCGTTTGGTGTATGTATTGTTAGTATGCAAGCTTATCTCTACTACGTAATATTTAAACCTACAAAATTTTGCTCTATTTTGAAAGGTTTTTGTTTTTTTTAGCAAGGCACAGTCTGTTGTCAGAATATTTTGAATAACTTGTTTTCAGAGACTGAATTGTAGAGGTTTGGGGGTTTTTTATTAAAAAGGTTATAGCACCATCTTGTGGTCAGATCACTGATATAACATTGAATAAAACCACCTATCTATTTATATTAGTGTGTCTTGTTTATCTAGTTTCATTACAGTGCTTCACTACAAGTAATTCTAAGAAAATCCAGAGTCTGCCAGGACCTTTTTTTGGGCCAACTAAAATGTCACAGGTGTAGTAGCATTTTTTAAAAATAATAAGAGTAGGAGGCTCAGATGACCAGTGTTACTTTTTAAAAGCTGAGTTTACTATCTAGAATTGGAAATCAAAAGTGCCAGGCCAAGAAGAAAATTATAAAAAGAGGCAAAAGCTATGGTTTATTTCAAACCAAAACTCAAAATGCTACAATGATCCACAAATGGAACAATGCATGCTACAAAACTCATGAAAATGAAATTTAGTGGTACAGAACAACAACATCTAACTCCATGCTGCAACCTATTGTTATATATGCCTCATGGATTCAGGACTTAACTTGGTCTCCTTTGGAACCCAGTAGGCTTACTGGCATTTGTAGTATTTCTTTATAAACGTACAGCTTGAGAAGAGGTGGAGGTACACCTTTAAACATTCCTACGAGGGTTGTACGTGCACCTCAAGATGGCTCCAGAACTAATTTGACTCTCTGACACTCAGTCTGGCTTTCTGAAACCAGCATTTCTTCACCCATAAGCTTGACGACATCACCCCCAGTCAAAGGAAAGGTGAAAGGGGCAGGGGAGAAAAGAAAGACGTGCCCCATTTTATGAAATAGGCTTTCCTTTCCCAGAGCAGTCTGTGACCATTTCCTTATTATTCGGAATAAAATTATCCCTAACGGTTCCTATAATGACCTATCACCTTAGTTTTTCTAATAATAGAATGAGCATGGCTAGATCTTCTTGACTGGTTTGCAGTGGCAGTTCTCTTACCATGAGTATTGGCAGAGGCCCATCCCCAAACCATAACACTATTTGGCAGGATGGGGAGCTGTGTTGTGTTGGTGCTTGAAAAGTTTATTTCTCATTTTCAGAGTCATCGGGTATTGTTCTCACCTCCACAATCATGAGGGACAGGGACATGTTCATTTTTTAAAAAAATTGTAAAAGAGGGACACCTGGTAATGTAATACATGCCCCAAGACCTAGGCTGTGGACACATAAGCGGTTTAAAACACAACAACGTGGTTTCCATCTGTGAAGAAGAAGAAGAAGAAGAGTTTGGATTTGATATCCCTCCTTTCACTCCCTTTAAGGAGTCTCAAAGCGGCTAACATTCTCCTTTCCCTTCCTCCCCCACAACAAACACTCTGTGAGGTGAGTGGGGCTGAGAGACTTCAGAGAAGTGTGACTAGCCCAAGGTTACCCAGCAGCTGCATGTGGAGGAACGGGGACGCGAACCCGGTTCACCAGATTATGAGACTACCGCTCTTAACCACTACACCACACTGGCACATGAGGTACACACCAGAGAGGGGAGGAATGCATTTGCCGGAAGCACATTACCTGATTTGCTTCCCTGCGCTTTCAGCCCCCTAACCTCCAATGAACTGTCATCTGTGCATGTCCAATGGCTGTCTGAACTCTACTAACCGCAGCTTGTGTTTTCAAATGGTGTGGCGGAAAATGCATCAAACAAGTGTGTTTCCCATGAAACTACTGGATACATATGGATTGTGGTTAATGTCCTGTGTACTCTGCTTCAAACAGCAGTGGTGGAAGTGAACTGGGGTCAGAGTAAAGGGAAATGGTTACCCTGCGCTCCTACCAGGACAGCTCACTTTTTAGTGGTTTGCAATCGCCGGCAGCCAGTAACACACATCCCTGCTAAAGTTGCTGCTGACCAACCAAGAACATTGGGGCAACTGCTCTGAAGCAGCTCGAGTCTGTTGTGGCAAGAACCCTCTTTTTAAAAACATGCAAGCTAATATGAGCATGTTGAACCCACATTGTCTCACTAGAGTGGTGCATGTTCTAGTTATCTCCTGCTTGGACTACTGCAATGCGCTCTATGTGGGGCTACCTTTGAAGGTGACCCGGAAACTACAACTCATCCAGAATGCAGCAGCCAGACTGGTGACTGGGAGTGGCCACCAAGACAATATAAAACCAGTCCTGAAAGACTTACATTGGCTCCCAGTACGTTTCCGAGCAAAACTCAAAGTGTTGGTGCTGACCTTTAAAGCCCTAAATGGCCTCTGCCCAGTATACCCAAACGAGCGTCTCCACCCCCATCGTTCAGCCCGGACACTGAGGGCCAGCTCCGAGGGCCTTTTGGCGGTTCCCTCAGTGTGAGATGTGAGGTTACAGGGAACCAGGCAGAGGGCCTTTTCAGTAGTGGCACCTACCCTGTGGAATGCCCATCAGATGTCAAGGAAATAACACAACTATCCAACTTTTAGGAGACATCAGAAGGCAGCCTGTTTAGGGAAGTTTTTAATGTTTGAAGTTTTATCATGTTTTTAATATTCTGTTGGGAGCCGCCCAGAGTGGCTGGGGAAACCCAACCAGATGGGCGGGGTATAAATTTATTATTATTATTATTATTATTATTATTATTATTATTATTATTATGGAGCTCAAGGGTGTGTAGTGTCTTGACAACTTTTCACCAAGGTAACGGCTCTCACCTGAAGAAAGCATCTCCACGCCTCTGTGGGGTCCCTGAGTTCAGAGGCAGTTGGGAAACAATGCTGGGAGTTGGGAAACAATTGCTTGTAGGTTTCACTGAGGTTTCTGGTTGCTTATGGCTGAAAGCAGGACTTGAGGAACCTTCAGTTTGTCCCAGCAAAGCTCTTCCTAGTGCTCAATTGAATGGTGGGGTTTGCATAGTAACAATGTGTACTTGAAAGTATGCCCTATAGAATTCAATGGGGGTTAGGTTAAGGTAAAGGGACCCCTGACAGTTAAGTCCAGTCATAAAGGACTCTGGGATTGCGGTGCTCATCTCGCTTTACAGGCGGAGCAAGCTGGCATTTGTCCACTCCGCAGACAGTTTTTCTGGGTCATGTGGCCAGCATGACTAAGCTGCTTCTGGGGCAACAGAACACCGACAGAGCAGCGCATGGAAATGCCATTTACCTTCCCGCCGGAGTGGTACCTATTTATCTACTTGCACTTTTTGGGGTGCTTTCGAACTGCTAGGTTGGCAGGAGCTGGGACCGAGAAACGGGAGCTCACCCCATCGCGGGGATTCGAACCGCCGGAACTGCCGACCTTTTGATTGGCAAGCCCTAGCTCAGTGGTTTAGACCACAGCGCCACCTGTGTTACCCCCAGGTAAATGGGATTAGGACTGCAGTCTTAGATGTTACCCTTAAGGGAGACACTTTAATCTGCAACATGCACATCTAAAAGGCAGCCTTGGAGGTGGTAATGGGGGGGGGGGGATGCTGTATCCTGGTGGGAGACCAACACAAATGCACTACACTCTCTGATTCCTTGTGGGACAGAGAGGTGAGTGGCACTTTCTCAAGTGGATAGGGATGCATCCTTTTCCTTACCCCACCCCTTTAATTTGGAAAAAAACAATAGCTAAGTGCCAAAATACTGTCACATGCTTTGCATGAAAAAAGGTCCCTATCAGCTATGGTTAAATAACTGCACTGGTAAGCTGCTGCAGTCCTATACAGTGGTACCTCAGGTTACATAAACTTCAGGTTACATACGCTTCAGTTTACAGACTCCGCTAACCCAGAAAAATTACCTCAGGTTAAGAACTTTGCTTCAGGATGAGAACAGAAATTGTGCTCCGGTGGCACAGCAGCAGCAGGAGGCCCCATTAGCTAAAGTGGTGCTTCAGGTTAAGAACAGTTTAAGGTTAAGAACAGACCTCCAGAACGAATTAAGTTCTTAACCCGAGGTACCACTGTACATACATACATACCAGGACTAAGCTCCATTGAATTCAATGGGATTTACCTCTGAGCAGATATTGCACAGCTAGTGATTTTCAGTTTTGCCTGTGAATGGCAGGGTTTTCTGTCCTTTACCAGCCACCGGCTTCCCGAAATCTTAACATTTGCCAGCAAATGTCAGCAGTGGCAGAATTTCAAACACTGCTTTGATCCAGAAAGCGAGTCATACCATATACCCCATAGAATTATGCTCTCCGGCTAAAATCCATTGATCTTGCGAGGTCGTGCTGTGAGCTTTGGCTAACTAACTTCGAATATCAGCCGCTGATCATCTACATCTTCATCCGCAGGGGGGGTTGGACTAGATGACCCTCGGGATCCCTTTCCAATTCTATGAGCCTTATGTATGCTTACTATATATACCAGCTGTGGCTGCTTCTGGGCCTGCGAAGTTGCGAGACGGTATCTGAATCACACAGGGGGGAAATACGCCCGCCTGGGACAACAAGCCCTTTTGGCGGCGCCTCTACTCCACGTTTTAGGGCAATCTCACGACGGGAGGTTGGGCGCGGCTGCTGCTGCCATTACGGCGCCACCCTCTCCCGCGGGTTGGGGGGGGGGAGGAGTGACGTCGTCGTCCGTCGGCGCGCCTACTCCAGACATTACGGAAGATGTCTGCGCGCTGAAAGCCTTTTTCGCGGAGTCGCCGCTACACCCGCCACTACGGGCCGCGCTCCCCTGGCCGGTGCGGGCTTTGCGAGATGGCGGCCGAGATCCACTCGCGGCCTCAGAGCAGCCGGCCCGCCCTGCTGAGCAAGATCGAGGGGCACCAGGACGCCGTCAGCGCCGCGCTCATCATCCCCAAGGAGGACGGCATCATCACCGCCAGCGAGGACAGGTGAGAGGGGGACGCCCCGGAGACCCCTTCCCCGCTGCGGGCGGCGGGAGGCGCTTCCCCCGGGCGCGGGAGGAAGGGTCCCTCCGCTGCCTCCGCACCCACCCCCGGGCCCCGCAACCTATTTTTTCCTTTGCAGAGACCCGCCTCTTTCCTCCCCCTTTATGAGGGGAAGCGCAGCTCCTGAGCATGAGTCTTTTTTTCTTTTGGAGGGGCAGCAAGAATTGGGAGTGGTTGGCTCTTATTTTGTCGCCTCCCTTTTTTTTTGCTCTAAAATCTCTGGGTACAGAATTGCTATTGTGGGGCGGAGAGGAAAGGAGGGACACGCCCCCTGCCTTCTTGCTTGGTTTTTTTGGGGTGGCTGGTCTGCCTCTGGTGGTGGTGTTCACACGCCACCACTCACCCACCCCAAACTGGAATAAAATCTGCAACAAAATGTAAGAGCATTTCTTTAAAGAAGGAAGAAAAAGTTTTTTAAACAGTAGGATCCTGTGCAAACGCCTACGCGAAGGAGGGTGGTGCTTTTTTCCTTTGAAAAGGGATACACACACACACACACACACACACAAATATAAATATATATCTCAACACTAATATCCACATGCAGGGCCCTGAATGACAATGCTTCCTCCTTCCTCCCCAGAAAAATTCCCGGGGGAGGTAGCCATGTTAGCCTGCCACAGCAAACATGTGAGTTTGTGGTGGGATGGGAAGCCTTGTGAGACTTAACAGATTTGTTTCCTTGGTGGACTAGACCAGAACTTGCTTTGTCGGATGCAGGGAGAGCTGCATTCTTGGGCAGCGGCTGCACAGGTGGGTTTGCAAATAGGCACCGGAGATGGCCCCTCCAAGGCTGTGAAATGCAAGGGGAAGTGTTGGGGGGGGTCGTTTTATACCTTGCTGTGCTGCAGAGAGCCCCCAGGACACATGCAAACTTGCAGGAAAGGAAAGAGCACCCCCCTTTTATCTCTCTCTCTCTGTTCTCCATCTTCCAAAGATTGCCAAGACTGGGGAGTGGTTTTGGCGCAACTTACCCAGTTTAGATGTCTGGTGTTGAGAGTGTGGGACATAAGAATGTAAGAGGAGCCTGCTGGATCAGGTGATCTAGTCCAGCATCCTGTTCTCACAGTGGCCAACCAGATCCCTCTGGGAAGCTTGCAGGACATCCACACAATAACACTCATCCGTGGGGGAGTGGGAATCAAATGGGGTGATCGGGTATTATCGTTGCTTGTCAGGTATTAATAACCAAAAGCTGTCTCCGATCCTACATCTATTCAGCCAGAAAATCTTCCTTTTTTGTTGCATAGAAGCCACAGCCGAACTGGATAAAAGGAGTAGTGTCAGGCCTTGGGTTGTGGCAGGCTTTCATACATGCACCCCAACTTCTCTATGTAAGTGAGGGGTGACCTCAGCGGCGACACTGTACAGTGGGGATGAAAAGAGTCCTGCATATGCATGAAGGCACATTTTTGTTGTTGGCTACATTACACATTTCATGGGTGAGTTCTGATGTTTTCATAGAATCATAGAATTGGAAGGGACCCTGAGGATCATCTAGTCCAACCTCCTGCGATGCAGGAATATGCAGCTGTCACCTATGGGGATCAAACCTGCAACCTTGGCGTTGTCAGCACCATGCTCTAACCAACTGACCTGCCCAGGACTCCCATCTTCAAATGTAGGTTGTGTGATGAAGTCCTGGTGAATCCAGTCTCTAATGATACCCAAGGAGAGCCCTTAACCAGTCACCCCAGGATTGTTTGGAGAGAAGCAAGTGAGAATTGGAGGGGATGCGCACAAGTTTGGATAGACTGGTGACCTTCCCCCAATGGAGATAGAGAAACAGACAGGCCAATTTGCTCATTCTATTTGTAGAACTGCCAGAAAACCTTCAGCTTAGGGTAGGAAGGGCAACTTTGAGCTCCCCTGAGACAAAGCTGAGTTCTGTGCAACTTTAATGCTTGCATAACCTTATCTGATGATGGATTATATTTCTGAGTTATTCAGAGAACAAAATATAAAGGCTTTTCTGTCCACCCTCCCCATATTTCACATTATCCCTACATCAAAACACCCCCTGCCCTCTGTGTGCATGCACATGTGTTGGGTGTGTGTGTGTGTGGAGAGAGAAATGGTTGAATACTGGCACACTGCCTTGAAGCAGAAATAGCCCATCCCATTTACTCAGTCTGGGGAAGCGTCTGACTGTACAGAAATACTTTCTTCCTTCTGCTCTCCCCTCACAAAGACAAAGAGCACTCATAATCCAGCACAAATACTTTTTCGCATTGGTTTGGTTGCTTTAAAAAAACCCATTTTTGTGTCTCCTTAGCCCCTTCAGTCCTTCTTTGCCCTACTCTGGCCTGTGAATTTGTTCCTTGAAATCTTCTCTGACCACTCTTTATATTGCACCTTTGATTTGCATGGCTGAGTTACAGAGTCAAGTGCTTTATAGCCAAAGTTTAGATTATCTGCTTTGCTTTTGCATCCTGCTTTGCGCTAACAACATAATTTGCACACGTTCTTCAAGTTGTGTATTGCCAGCTGCCAACCAGCAGGTAACATCGACGTTCAAATTGCCTTTGTCTTCATCGTGATGGAGCAGAATTTATAGAGGAATATACATGTTAGTCTTTTAAGCAGATGGTGCACAAGAGAGTGCGTAGAGAAAACTGCCCCACAAAGCTGTGCTTAAGCAATCAAGATAATAATCGGTTTCATCAGACCAAAGGGTTAATTGGTGCTAGTTCCGAAAGCCCTTGGGGATTACAGCATCTGTTGCACAGGATTACATTTAAGCTAAGAGAAGAATGCATGTTTCCTCAAAGTGGATGAACAATGTGGCTCGGCAACACCAGATGAAGCATTTTGATTCTTGGCTTGTTATTCCAAGCAGTGCTTGAAGTGTGCAGAGGGGAGGTCACTCTTGTTGTTACTCACACAGGAGGAAATTCAGCAGCACCCAGCAGTGTCATGCACCTTGGGGCCTTGGCCGTGTTGATTTAAAGCAGAGTCTGTCGTGCCCAGCGGAAGGATGAGGCGTACGTGCTACATACTCTATATTGCTTTATTTACAGTTCAAAGCTGGTATATTACAGAAAGACATCTTGCCTCTGCAGGAGCAGAAAAATGCATCCTCTCTCCTCGACAGCTTGGAGAGAATCACTCAGTGAAAAACAGGAAACCAGTGTACGTCACATCCAGTCTCCCTTTCCCGTGAGAAACTCCAACAGTACAGACTGTGGAATGTAAACACCTGTCTCGTGACAAGCAGAGCTGCACAGTGAAGGAAAGCAGAAACCAACATCCTCCCCTTTCTGTGAACATCACTGGGCAGCGTGTTTGCACAATATCAGTACAAACCCAACTTCTGCACATAGGTACAGTGTTGATCCCTTGATACAATCTTGGACAATACATCAGCAGGAATTTCATTACCTGGCATATAGGACACCGTTACGAGTCCCTTCTGAATACATTCCCTAGCATGCTGCAACTTTAATTGCAAGTGCTTTGTGCTTTGCTTACAACCTTCAGACTTCAGCAAAGCCAAACATGCTTTGTTGTCCTGGTAAACCTGGATTGGACATTTGACAGGAATTTTCATATCTTTGCACAATTGTACTAACCATTCACAATCCTTAAGTGAATAAGACAGTGCATTCAGTTCGGCTTCACAAGTACTTAAGCTAACTGTTGTTTGCTTCTTGCATGACCAATCAAAAAGACTCTGATTGTACATGTAGCAAACTCCAGACGTACTTTTCCTGTCTGTAGCGTCACTTCCAAAACTTGCATCTGCAAATATCTCAAGACCACCAGACTTCTGATTGTTAAATCTCAGTCTGTAATGCATAGTGCCTTTCAAATACCGCGCTATGCGTTTCAGAGCTTTCCAATCCTTGACACTAGGATTGTTGACTTGTTTGCTTAGCAAATTACAGCTAACAGCAATGTCTGGTCTTGAACATCTGGCAATGAAGTTTAGCTTGCCTAGCACACTCCTGTACAGTGTAGTGTCAGAAAATGCTTCTTCAGTGTCATCTACCTGATAACCTGTTGTCATCGGTGTGTCTACAGGGTTAGCATCCATCAGATTTAGTTTGCTTAACACATCAGCAATTTTCCGTGACTGGTGTACTAGAATGTTACCATCTTGATCTCTCTCTATCTCCAGAGATAGGTAGTTGTTTACCTCACCAAGATCTTTCATGTCAAAGTGCTCTTTCAGTTGAGCTAGGGCGTTATTGTACATTGCGACATCTTTCCAAAAGAATAATAAATCATCAACATAAAACAAACAGTACAGTTTCTTTTGCCCCTCCTCTTTGACAAATACACATGGATCAGCTTTCCTTGCTGAAAACCTAGAGAAAACAATACTTCAGTGAGTTTTGTGTGCCAACACCGTGCACTTTGTTTGAGACCATAAAGGGATTTCTTCAGAGCACAAACAAATCCCTGTTTTACCTGTACGCCATCAGGTGGAAGCATATAAAGTGATTCATCTAGAGATCCGTACAGAAAAGCTGTATTAATATCATGGTGACTAATGTGTAGATTTTCCTCTGCAGCTAGCTTGAGCATAAGCCTAATGCTTTCATATCTCACTGTGGGTGAATAGGTCTCGTGATAGTCTTCACCTGGTACCTGTGCAAAACCTCTGGCTACCAATCTGGCTTTGTGTCTGACTATTTTGCCATTTTGATCTGTCTTCGCTTTGAAGACCCATTTGCTTCCAAGCAGTTTCATTCCTGGAACTACTGGAACTAGCTCCCATGTTTTGTTCCTTTCTAAGGAATCAAGCTCAGCCTTCATGGCATTTAACCATGGCTCAGCTTCCTTTGAATCCAAACCCTGGATTTCTTGGAAACTTGAAGGTTCAAATACCTTCTTGGAGCTTTTAACAGCTGTTACTGCTATCGTAGCAAACTCATCAGCAAATCTCTTTGGAGGTTTGCCTTTTGTGGCTCTCTGTGACCTACGAATTAGCCTTAAGTCTTCAACACTCTCCTCTTCCTTCTTAGGAGAAAAACGACCTATTGTGAACAATGGTTCCTCCAATTCTTGATCAGAGCTTTCAGAGGGTCGCATAGAGGCTTTCGCACTCTCGAAATCCTCTGAATCACCCGATTCAGTTTCAGATTCAGACTCAGAACCTTCATCAGTGGGTGTGGGTTGTTGTGGTTGCTTTTGACTATCCTCAGTCTCATCACCGTTATCAGGATAACATTGGAAAATTCCCACATTCTCCCCCCCACTTTGCATTGTACTCAACACTTCTCGTGAGCTTAATTGTCTTAGAGTCAGTCATCATTATTCTGTAAGACCCTTTCTGATAACCTAGAAAGATACCATGCAATCCACGCTTGTCTAACTTGGAGTTTTGTGGTGAGCGAACCCACATGTCAGAACCAAAAATCTTCATGTGTTTGATGTATGGCTTCTTGCCAAACATCTTTTCATAGGGGGTACACCCAATCGCTGAAGATAACCTGCGATTGTAACTGTAAACAAAACACGAGAGAGATTCGGCCCAATAACTCTCTGGAAGATTGGCATCATGCAGCAAGGTTTTTAAACCTTGAAGCAATGTCTGATTTGCCCGTTCCGCAAGTCCATTCTGCCATGGCGAGCGAGGACTAGACAAATCGTGTTGAATTCCTTTCTCAGTCAGAAAAGCTTCAAACTGCTGAGAAGTGAATTCCCCCCCGCGATCACTGAAAAGAGTCTTTATCTTCTTACCATGCACATTTTCCAACCAAGCACAGAATTCCTTGAACCTAGGAAAAGCCTCCGATTTCTGCTTGAGATTGTACACAAAAATATATCTAGAAAATGCATCAATGAGAACCATGAAGTATCTATTTCCACCCAAAGAGGGCGCTAGTGGTCCAACCAAATCAGCATGAACAACCTGGTATGGTTCTGTAGCTTTCCTACTAGACACCTTACCTTTCGCAGCCATTTTCACCTTGTTTGCTGCGCATGCTTTGCACTTCATGTGGTACCTGCAGGGTTTAATAGTCATACCTTCAACCAAGGCAGGCATTTTAGATACTGCCTCAAAATGCAAATGACCAAATTTTCGATGAAAATCGTGAATACATTCTGCATGCAAACTTTTGTTAGAACCTGCAATGCAACAAGTGTCATCCTGCACCACATCATCATAATACAAAACAAACAAATGATCAACATATTCTGCATGCAATACATAATCATTTTTCTTTGTGATGATGCACTTCTTGTTCTTGAAGGAAACGTCAATGTTCCGCTCATTCAGCTGTCCAACGCTGAGCAGATTATGTTTGGCGTCTGGCACGTAAAGCACATTCTGTATCGATAAGTCCAAACTGTGAAGAACAACAGTTCCGTAGCCTTTACTGGGAATAGTGTGGTCATCCGCCTGGTGAATCGCACCTTCCTGCGGTGTAAAAGACACAAACAGTCTCTTATCGTTGCACATGTGGTGGGTGGCCGCTGAATCAACAACGAAGAAAGATCTAGACGTCTTCTGGACCTCTGCAACCTTTGGAGTGAAGCGTGAAACCATAGCCTTGTGCTGCGTTGTCCTAGACACCGGACCTTTGCCTTTGCCTCGGCCTTTTCCGCGCGATGAGCTTTCGCTGCGCTGCTCTGTCTTGGCCCTGGGATGTCTGCATTCCCTCTTCATATGGCCTAGACGTCCACACGAGTAGCATTTCACTGCCTTCAAAGCTTTGGCGCCATCTGGTGGTTCCACTGCACTATGGGATGACGTCTGTGAAGACTCCCCTTGCCCATGCAGCTAGCACCCGGCGATCTGCTTCATTTAAAATCACGGCAGTAACAAAGTCCACTGTCAGCTGAGCAGTTGGTTGCACAGCAATCTGGGTTGCAACAGACTCCCAACCTGAACCCAAAGATTGTAGTATCATGAAAGAATACACAGCCTCTGGAAAGTTGAGTCCTCTCTGTTGCAGCTCATGTCTCAGATTTTTCATCTCCATCAGATGTAAACGCACATCTCCACCTTCAGCAAGAGCCATATTATGCAGCTTGTTAAAGTAAAACATAGTGGATCCAGCTTCTGTCCTTAAGTGAGCCTCTTTCAGAGCGTCCCAAATTTCTCTGGCTGAGGTCTTATCACGCAATAGACAGAGCTCTTCTGGGGATACTATCAATGTAAGAGTTCCCCTTGCTTTGGAATCCTTAGCTTCCCATGCATCTGTAACTGGAACTGGGGGGGTTCCTGTAATCACCTCAAACAAACCCTCTTTCCGCAGAATTGCCTCTGCATACTGAACCCAGTCGCTGTAATTTTTCTTGTTGAGCTTAGGAATCCCACAAGCATCCTGAAGGGCCATCATGACTCTGGCATTAGCCTTCAGCGTCATATGCTGCTTTAAATCTTGCTGCGTCACTGCTGCAGCTGCCTTATTACAAAGGCACACTTAAAATTTACTTCGATTTCCCAGCATAGTGACTTGTGCCTGGGAGCCTTTTGCCTATTCCCGGCAAAACCGGCTTTAAAAGTTCAAAGTCCAGCCATAAAGCCATTAACTTGAAGCTGGCAGGCTGCCCGGAGCAGTAGCACATACCTCATCAATCACTTCTTCGCGCAGAGCAGATTCCTTTCCGATCCGTCCCTCTGCATTCCGATCCTTTTGCCGGCACTCCGATTCGACCTCTGGAGCCCATAACCACGTGTTGATTTAAGCAGAGACTGGTGCCCAGCGGAAGGATGAGGAGTACGTGATACATACTCTATATTGCTTTATTTACAGTTCAAAGCTGGTATATTACAGAAAGACATCTTGCCTCTGCAGGAGCAGAAAAATGCATCCTCTCTCCTCGACAGCTTGGAGAGAATCACTCAGTGAAAAACAGGAAACCAGTGTACGTCACATCCAGTCTCCCTTTCCCGTGAGAAACTCCAACAGTACAGACTGTGGAATGTAAACACCTGTCTCGTGACAAGCAGAGCTGCACAGTGAAGGAAAGCAGAAACCAACAGGCCACGCATGCCATCCATCTCATGTCATCCGAGAACTAGGATGGGGGTAGTGGCCAGGTGTGAGTGGTCAGCTGGCAAATCCACCATTCCAGTTGCACCTCAGCCACAAACCTGTTCAGTCTCTATTCTCTGATTGTGTATATTCGTTGCCATTTTTGTTGTCAAATGCTCAGATTCTTTTTTTTTTATGCTGTTTCGATGCATTGTGTTATTGTGCTCATTCAGCAACAATGCCCATGCGCTGCAATGCATTAAAAAATATCATGATTAGGATTTCTCAAAAAATGTAGTCATGGATGAAGCGGGGGTTGGGGGTAGAAGTCTGTTACCTTCGCAGCTATCACCGGAATTGTTAAAACATAGTGTGTATTCACAAAGCACCCAAAGAACTGTTCAATTCCACTTCCTTCAATTACTGTATTTTTCGCCCTATAGGACGCAGTTTTTCCCCTCCAAAAATGAAGGGGAAATGTGTGTGCATCCTATGGGGCGAATGCAGGCTTCAGGAAGCTATCCGCAAGCCTTGGGAGCCCGGCGGGAGTGCCCGCCGGGCTCCCAAGGCTTCGGGCTGCAGCCTGAAGCACGGGGCGTGCTCTGGAGCACACCCCGTGCTTCGGGCAGATGTCCACAAGCCTTGCGTGCCCGGCGGGAGGTCCCACCGGGTGCGCAAGGCTTCCGCGGCAGCCTGCAGCCCGAAGCATGGGAGGTCCCGCCGGGCGCGCAAGGCTTGGGGCGGCAGCCTGTTCTGGGGGCTGGGGTCGGGGGAAGCTAGCCCACTGTACAAAGGTACAATTCACACTTCATTGCTTTGACCACTTTGTCTGTGGCCTGCCCACCACTGGCATGTGATACCCTCTTCCAGTTGCCCAAGTGGGAATATGAAAAATGTCCCCTACGCCTCCTCCAAGTGCTGGACCATGTTAGTTTTCTGCTATATGATACACTTCAAAGGTATGGAGGTAACGTCCCTGTTTCTGGTCTTCCCTCTAATCTGAGCCTAGGGATACATTTGAGACCACAAGTAGGCCACAATAAAAGGACTGCATGTATTTTCGTGGCCCTAATTCTCTGTACCAGTTATACTGTATATCTTAGAACCAGCATGAAAATGAGCAAGTCATACTGAAAAGCCAAAGGTTATATAAGTATTATATAGTTGTGGTGTTACGGCTCATAAAAAGTCAGCTGATAGGTCACTGATATAGTACAGCAGAGGAAGCACAAGGAAATAGCCAGGATTAAAATAAATGACTCCTTTTAATACTGGTGTGTCTGGTAGACATAAATTAAGATACATACTTGCCTGAAAGCACTTGAAATATTACTTTCCATGTTTCAGTGCAAAATGATTCTTTTTTCTTTCCTTAAATTCACAGGACAATTAGAGTATGGCTGAAGAGGGACAGTGGTCAGTACTGGCCCAGCATTTACCACACAATGTCATGTAAGTAAGTACAGACACTGCTTTGTTGATATCATTGGTTGAGTGTGTCTCTTGTGCAAATCTAGGAAGTTGATGTATGTTATGTCCTGCTGTTTTGGGTACTACTGTTAATGTTTTGTACAGTGGAACCTTATGTTACGAACGGGATCCGTTCTGGAGACCCGTCCGTAACACGGAACTGACGCAAGCCAAAGCGCCATGTCTGTGCACACGCTTGGTGCGATTTAGCGCTTCTGCGCATGCGTAAGCGGCAAAACCCAGAAGTAACCCGTTCCGGTACTTCCAGGTTGCTGCGGGATGCAGCACGAAAACACGTAACCCCAAGCAGACGCAACATGAGGTATGACTGTATAGTGGTTTCAGTGTGTGATGTTAAATCTTTTTCTTTATAATTATTATTGCTACAATGCATTTTGTCATGCTGCAGACTGCTCTGTGAGAAAAAGGGTAGAACAATAATAGTATTTATCACTATAGTAGTAGGCATGAAAGTAGCAGTAGATGGCTGTTATTGTCAATCAGGATGAAGGCATTTGTTTTAATTCTTTGTTGCTTGATCCTTTTGTGGCTCCTGTCTGTGCTCCTTCTGACTCCTTTAAAGGCTTTTGCTGGTGCTTCCTCAGTAGGCTTGTTTTAGCAGCCTGCCTGTTGATCCACGAGATCGTCTTGTGACCCATGTAGGAACATTACAGCTGGAGGAAACTGACAAATGCAAGAACATCATTCATGTTCTGTGAAGTTGCATGAGATTAAGTTTTCTGCTTCTGGGAAGTTCAGTTACTTATCTAGCTCTACCTATCTAGTATATTTTGCAAATCGGTTTTAACTTTGCTAATAGAATGACTTGCTTTGTTTAACCATTTTTGTTGTTGCTTAAATGAGCTTCTAGTCAACCCAAAAGAGAAGAGAGGGAAAAAGAAGAATGCTGCTGTTGTTTTTCCCCACCAAGCTGATAATTGAAACCAGAACCTCATTTTAGCTGGGTCATCTTAACATTAAGTCAAACCTAACAAAGGCTTTTGCTTTTAAATATGATTGCCAACGGTAGAGGGAAAACAGCTTGGCTTTCTCTTTTGCCTCTAACAGCAGTTTCATCCATTAAAAAAATCAGCAGATACTTTTCATAATATGCAGAAAAGCACAATCACTAATGTTTTCAGATTCAACTGCTGTTTAAGCATAAGAGCATTAAGGCAGTGCTCTCTAAGAATCCTATGGCGAGATACTAAGGCTGCAATCTTATATACTCTTTCCTTCTGAGTAGACATGCCTAGGGCTGTGCTTTTGAAACAGAGGGTGTTCTGTGGAAATTCTTCTGGTTTTCCTTGGAAGAAACATGGATGGATAAGAATTTCACTGCAAAACATTGCCTAATGTTGATAATGCTTCGACTGGCAAAAATATTTGATTTAGATTCATTCCTATGTAAAAATTATTTTGTAAATGTGTATTTCTTTGGGCAGCTCCCTGTTCCACCATGGCTTATCATCATGACAGCAGGCGGATATTTGTGGGTCAAGATAATGGAGCCATTATGGTCAGTATCTCATTTGTATTCAATACGCTTTTTAAGTACTGAGTGCTAGAGTCCTGTCTAGTCAAGTTGCATGGGATCAATTCCAATCTGTTACCTCCGAGGATGACCCGGGTCAACGTACAGCCCAGACACTCAGGTTCAGCGCTGAGGGCCCTCTGGCGGTTCCCTCACCGTGAGAAGCGAAGTTACAGGGAACTAGGCAGGGGGCCTTCTCAGTAGTGGCACCCACCCTGTGGAAAACCCTTGCATCAGATTTCAAGGAAATAAACAAATATATGACTTTTAGAATACATCTGAAGGCAACTCTGTATTGGGAAATTTTTTATGTCTAATGTTTTACAATTTTTTACGTATTTTTACGTATTGTAAGCTGCCCAGAATGGCTGGATATTCTTTATACCCAGCAGGGTATAAGTAATAAAGTTGTTGTTAGTTATTGTTATATTATATTATTTATTATTATTATTATTATTAATTAAACCCATGCTAAAAATGAGCCTTGCAGTCTTGAATGCATGCATCAGAATACTGTTCCTGCTGAGCTCTCACCCCCCCAAATATATTAAATATATATACACTGGGAACAGTTGCTCATGGCCTTTCCTTTCCCAAGACTCCTAAAGGAGCAGATTATGGAGCTCCCAATTGTACGGATAGAAATTCATGCGCTGGTAGGTTTCAGGCTGATTTTCATGGCCTCCAGTTGTGCTTGTTTTCAGTCCACCTAAAGCTGCGAGGGGAAGCGGTAGTGTTAAGCCATCAGGACCAAACAGTGACTGATTTAGGTGGTGCAGAGGCTGGTTCAATTGGTACAGCTGCCAGACTGCTGTGAACACAGGGGTCTCTGTGTTTCCTTAAGATCCTTCCTGGCCTCCCAGGTAGAGCTGACCTACATCTTTAGAAAAGCACCTGGAAGGCCCAGGACTTGAGATAACCAGGCTAGAGGTGGGAGAATTGTATTCTCAAGCAGCCTTGTGTCAGAAACACCCTTCTAGGGAACACGCTGAGCAGGAGAAAAGTTTCCAGCTTGCTGTTCCTAAGGGGTAGGTATCTTCTGTATAGATTCTTTAAAAAAAATATGCAGTGGAGCCTTCCAATGAGCACTTCCCTCGCTTACATTCTGAAATTGTACAGGCCCAGAAGATTGTACCACACATGTAATTTGTAGATTGGCATTTTGCTGTGTTCCATTCACTTGGGTATAGATGCATGTCCTCTTGGATGTTTTCTGCATTTGTTGGCTATTTGAGTTGTTAATATTCTGTTGGGAGCCGCCCAGAGTGGCTGGGGAAACCCAGTCAGATGGGCAGGGTGTGGGTGTGTGCGTGTATTAGTATTATTGACTCTTATTTAAAATAGGGATAATGTAGCAGTTTGTATAGGACCATATCCCTTATTATTATTTACTGTTTTCTTAGTGCTGTACAGCACTTCTTACGTTATCCCTGAGATCATTCTTCAAAATCCTAATGAAGCTGAATGGATGGCAGTTGAAGACCACCTAAACATTCCTCCATATGAAAGCACAGCTTAAATAGATGGAAATCCCTTGCAGCTTTTCTTATTGTGTCACCTGAGCCTGCCTGATCTTGAGAGAAGATTGTGCCTCTTTCTCTTAATAACATCTTGGTTGCTTGGTTTCAGGAGTTTCATATCTCGGAAGACTTCAATAAGATGAACTTTGTCAAGACTTACCCAGGTAATGAATCAGCAAAGTGTGCATTATCTTTTCCCCCAGAGGGGGGAAATTTTAGATCAATGGCTTGTAATGTATGACCTGTCTTAACTTGCATCAGATTATTATTGTTCCTGTTTTGAGACACAACTGACTACCTATGTGAGCCGAAATCATACATTCCGTAACTTAAGTATCGAAAACAAAATAGAAAATGGTAAAATATATTTTAATGATGGGTAACCATTAGGTTTCAGAAAGGTTGGATCCAGACTATGCAATAATCAGGGCAGGTTAGTTGTGACTAATTTCAGGTCCTTTGATTTTCAGTGGAACAGAAAATCATGAAAGCACGATTAACTTGGTGTGGGGCTAAGTAGTGGTAATTACCAATTTAACTTCTGTCCATCGCTGGCTTTTCCTTCCATTTTATGGGTTCTGAGGCCACTTGTGGGATGGGCTTGACCTAACATTCTTTAAGCAACCTGCCATTCTTTAAGCAACTGTTCTCTGCTGCTCTGTGGATGATTCTGAGCTCAGACACCTAATCACAGAACATTTACATGGTGGGACCATACAGTTTGGTTACAAACAGTGACCAGGCTTCTGACTTCATCTGATCTTCCAGCTCCTCTCTTCAGTTCCAGCTAAATCAGTTGCAGCTTTGCCAGGGGTCATGGGGGATCAACGGATCAGGAAGAAAGTCTGCATGGAACAGTGTAGGGAGGACATCTGGGTGCACATTATGCTCCATTCTGGGGAGCATGTGCACAGGGAAGGGACGGGGGAACATTTGACGGCTCCATTTGAAAGCAGCCTTTTTTGATTGCAAGGCCATCCCCATTGAAACAGACCTATCTTATGATGTGTCACTCTTTCTACAAATGCGAATGTTGGCTTTGAGAGAGACCTTGTGTTAAAATGACAACAAAAGAGTCTCTATGTCACGGCAGATGACGCTTGTCTATTCCAATATAATGCTTTTCTCTATTCCAACTAATTTCATAGTGGTTCTCCCCCAATGCTCCCTCCTTCGATCACCTGATCTGATTCACTGTTTAATCTCATTTGCAATCACATATGTGCTTCACCTAAGCTGTTGTTTTGCCATAATGGAGACTGACCTTCATATATCCATGTGAAGGATGTGACTCACCGCAAGAAGCCTTTAAATAAATGAACTCCTGGCAAATTGGGGCGGCAGAAAATGCACACTGTTGTTCAAACAATCATAGCAAAGTCAATGCCTTCCCAAAAAACTTAAATTTGTTTTCCAGGAAGGCCAGCCATCTTTGGAGTCTTCCATGTGTACTTCAGAACAAAGTTTGCATTCAACAGTTTTGTGCCTTGATTTTTGCTTCTCTCTCCTTCCACCATAAATGCCTCAGAAGGCCCACAAATTAAATGGGAGCCTGGCTGCAAGTTATTTTCCTCCCTATCTTTTGTTGATAATACTGGCTGCATTGCTGTGGGTGCAGTCACTGGTATTATGTCTGTCAGCATTTTTTTTTCCTCCTGAAAAAGCATGGGGTGCCACAGTAGGTTCTGGGACTGCAGACAAACCTTACGTTCCTCTTCTCGCCCCCTTTCCCTGACAGCCATCGTATAAGATGGAAACAAGGCTTAAATGTATGGATTGAACGAGTCACCTGTAGAGCAATGCATCCTGCAAAAATATTCTCTTCTTTTGTGTCTCTGCAGCTCATCAGAACAGAGTATCTGCGGTCATCTTCTGCTTGGAAGCCGAGTGGGTTATCAGCACCGGCCACGATAAATGTGTCAGCTGGATGTGTACCAGAAGTGGAAACATGCTGGGACGACATTATTTCACCTCCTGGGCTTCTTGCCTACAGTATCTTTCAGAGTAATTGTATCATAGCAGAAGTGGGAGTTTCTGAAGGTTTATTTAAAGTGTGCCCAAAGCTCAGTCGCTCTACTGCACAATTCTATATTCATTTTGAATAGCCTCTGCCAAAAGAGTGGAAGTGTTTTAAGTGACTCTTTCTGCTGTTAGATTTCATTAGTGTAAGAGCTTTTAAAGAGTCTACTGTAGCTAACAGGTTGAGGAAGTACTAGTCACTGTTGCCGTATGTAATATTTGTTTGGCAATTCAGCAGTCTCAGGTTAGGTGCCACATGTGCTTCAGAAATCCTCTTCAAGTGTTCTGCAAACACATGATGGGTGGGGGTGCTTGAGGACCAGCATGCCATAATAATAATAATAATAATAATAATAATAATAATATATTTATACCCCGCCCATCTGGCTGGGTTTCCCCAGCTACTCTGGGTGACTCCCAACAAAATGTTAAAAATACAATATGCTACCCCTGCTCTGATCGTCATCTGTTAGTTGAAGGGCGAATGCATTCCTGAGTTCATTGAGGCTCACCGTGCATTTTAGAACCCTTATTTTCTAGGATTCTAAAAATGTGCAGGGAGCCTCCATGAGTACAGGATTGCAGAACCACTTTGCTTTCATATGTAATGCCTGAAGGAGGCTACAAGCTGCTGGCAGTGCTAGGTGCTGTCTTCATTCAGTGTTAGAAGTGACAATCTGTAATCCGTAAGGTGTTCTCTTTATATCCAAAGGGTCACTTTGGTGTTGACGCTTACAGACCATAGAATGAAAAAGCAGGGTGTGCACACTTAGGCATTGGCTGGGAGGTTAAAAAAATTATTTCACACCAGTTTATTGTATTAGGTGGGTGGACAAGTAGGGAATATCTGTCAATCATTCTGCCCAGTCACCTTTCTCACCCCTCCAGCCTATTGCTGAAGACACAACCCTTTCTGGTGGAACAGAGTGTTATAGCACACAGTTCTGCTATTTAGTATATTTTAGAACTATGTATTCATCTAGGCATAGCATGTTGGGAAGGACATCAAAGACATGCCGCGATCATTGCTAATCCAAAATCGGCAGCCCTCTCTTGTGGCACTTTAAAGACTACATTTTAAAATAATAATGATTGGATTTTATAAGTTTTTAGTGGCATAAGCTTTTCTGGGCTGCATTCTTCCCCAGGTTGCATCTTTATCACAGTTGTTTTAAATATGTTTTTTTATTGTTTTATTGCTTGTTTGCCGCCCTGGGCTCTTTTGGGAAGAAGGATGGGATATAAGTTTAATAATAATACAGTTCACTTCATTGAATGTCAGCTGTCTACTGCACGAAAACTGGATGACATGATATGTTAGCCTTCAAGGTGCTACAAGACTCTTAGTTCTGTTTACTGTGGGAGACTAAGACAGCTACTCCCCTGGGAGTTTCCTTTAGGTGTTGAGTTAGTCTATGAGAGAGCTGTGATTTTAACCCAGGTCATATAGGTTCACTCTGTCCAGTAAATCATTCTGACTCTGAACTTTACTGAGAATCTAGCATGGTTTTCCCAGAAAGCATCATCTTTATCTTTTGGGGGAGAGAGAAAGTAAAGACTTCCTTTTCCTCAGCAGGGTTTTTCTTCTCCTTATTGTCACACACTGTTTGCTGGAGTCATTAATAGCAGGACAGATTATTATTTCACTACCCTTGTCAAGAGCTTCTGAAATATAGCAGCTAATGAGCCAGTTAGAGACAGTTAAGCAAACATGAAACGTTGCAGCATGGGCAGTCAAGAGTATTGCCTACTCCATAAAAGCAAACACTGACAATATTACACAAGTAATGGAATAATGCTGGTAATGAGGCTGGCCAACAGGCTGACTCAGTGCATACATTGCCAGTCTTCATTTGTGGCAACTGCTCCCCCTCACCCAACTACCCCCTTTTCGATATGTGGTTTGCGAGCCAAGTCTTCAAAGTGTGCTGGCCTTGGTTTTGTTTCGGATCTGCCCAATTCAGAAGGAGGCAGCAGTGAAGCGCAGCTCTTCTGTTCCTGCTCAGGAGTGACCCCCGTGCCACAGCTTGGATTTCCATGCTTGTAGACCTTGCAGTAATTTTATACGTACAGTGGTACCTTGGGTTACATACGCTTCAGGTTACATACTCCACTAAGCCAGAAATAGTGCTTCAGGTTAAGAACTTTGCTTCAGGATAAGAACAGAAATCGTGCTCTGGCGGCGCAGCGGCAGCAGGAGGCCCCATTATCTAAAGTAGTGCTTCAGGTTAAGAACAGTTTCAGGTTAAGAACGGACCTCCAGAACGAATTAAGTACTTAACCCGAGGTACCACTGTAGAAAGATAAATGGGAACCAGAAGGGAAGAGGAGAAATGTCTCCACTCCCATTAAATTTGGACCAGGCACAGCCAGTGCTGTTTTTCTAGGGGGGCGGGTAGTGCCAGAGCTCACTTTGAACTTCTCCCTTGTTCTCTTAGAATGGCAGTGGTGCCTACCTGAGAGGTGCCAGAGCTGAGCTCCAGCTGGGAGGAAAAAAGGCCCAGGCACGACAGTTTTGGAATTGGACTTGCTTTAAGATTGCGATAAAGCTCTTAAGTCCGGGAGGAGGGACCTGAGATTCCTGCATTGCAGGAAGTTGCTCTAGCCTGCTGCATAAAGGTCTAATTGTTTGTCTGCTTGCTTTTCCCTCTGGCCTTACCTGCCACTGGCAGGTGGCCCCCAGAAGGAATTGTGACCCTACAGGTGACAAGTTTACCCACTCCTGCTCTAAGCAGTCCAGCACATCCTTGCTTGTATCTTGGAATAAACATGATGGGCTCAGGCACCACTCAGAGCCCCCCAGGTGGCAAGGTCTCCCTTCTCCCTTTCCACAGGAGAGAACTGTAAGTGATTCCTCCTCAGCCTCGTGCTGGTTAGACTCTTATTATGCCTGTTGTGGTCACACCTGCTCTCTCCTCCTCCACCAACTTGCTCGCATCACGAAGTCCCTTAAGTCTTTTTACTGACACCGTCCTGCTGTTCCGTCACCTGGGAGACGGATCTAGCACTCCTCACACCTTCATGGTGTCATGCTTGTTTTTCTTACCCAGCTAGTCCAGCTGCCGATCGCATGGTCGGCGGTTCGAATCCCCGTGGCGGGGTGCGCTCCCGCTGCTCGGTCCCAGCGCCTGCCAACCTAGCAGTTCGAAAGCACCCCCGGGTGCAAGTAGATAAATAGGGACCGCTTACTAGCGGGAAGGTAAACGGCGTTTCCGTGTGTGCTGTGCTGGCTTGCCAGAGCAGCTTTGTCACGCTGGCCACGTGACCCGGAAGTGTCTGCGGACAGCGCTGGCTCCCGGCCTCTAGAGTGAGATGAGCGCACAACCCTAGAGTCTGTCAAGACTGGCCCGTATGGGCAGGGGTACCTTTACCTTTACCTTTTAGTCTAGCTGCATCTTGGCAGTAGAGCGTTTCCCGTGTTTTAACTCATACCCCAGAATGATCAGACTAATTACCCCTCTTAAGTTTTAGAACCTTGGGTGACAGCGACATGGCTTTTAAAATGGTTGCGGAGGTCAAGAGCCTCGTTTGCTTGAACTAAAAGCAGCATCTAGTAAGATCTCTTCTAGTTTAGTGAGAGCCAGTGTGGTGTAGTGGTTAAGAGCGGTAGACTCGTAATCTGGTGAACCGGGTTCGATTCCCCGCTCCTCCACATGCAGCTGCTGGGTGACCTTGGGCTAGTCACACTTCTTTGAAGTCTCTCAGCCTCGCAGAGTGTTTGTTATGAGGGAGGAAGGGAAAGGAGATTGTTAGCTGCTTTGAGACTCCTTAGGGCAGTGATAAAGCGGGATATCAAATCCAAACTCCTCTTCTTCTAGTTTAGGCACACCTTCAACTTCGGTTTTGATAGCACTTTGGGACAAATTAGTCTCCTTTTTACAACCATCATTTTACGCTCTGCCTCTGTGCTGCTTGAGCAGTTGACACATGAAAGCTACTCCTTGACTCGGCTGCGCTAAGATACGACTTTGAAACCCAGCATGCCTTTGTCGGAGACTATTCTGGGCAGATCACGCTCCTGAAACTTGAACAGAGCACGTGCTCGGTTATCACAACTCTCAAGGGTCATGAAGGTAAATATATATATGTATGTATGTATGTATGTATGTATATCTTTTTCTAATTGTTTTTCCTCCTGAAATGAAATTAATTATAAATATATGTAACTAGACCTTCCCTGAATTCTTAGGGTGAGTGGCACTAAGTGCCCTCCCTGCTAACCTATGAAGTGTTCTGAACAGGAATGTGGTTGCCAGCAATTGTGCTGCTTTCTCAAATGACTGGGCAGTAGGCGGTATTGAGTCTATGGCCAAGAGGGGTGTCGGAGAGGATGACCTGTCATATTTGTAAGCAGACCCAAACCAACTTCTCTTTACTTTCAAAACTTTCTTCCTAATGTCTCAACAAATGAAACTGATTTGTAAAAATGTTACATGGGGAGGGGGGAATGAGAGAGAGACATTGCACACACTTTTGTAAATCAAGAAAATATTTAATAATAAAATAAAAAAACTTAGGGTGTAGTAAAGAGTTTTAGGCACCAGATGGCAGGCTTTCAAGGGTTGACCCTCTGGCAGTTCATAGAAAGCAATAGATATAATGTACTGTCCCTGCTGTGTGACCGACACACATTTGCATTAAGTGAGAATGGGAACTGGGGATTATTGCTCCTTTTGTTAGTTTTCCTGCCTTCTTCCGTTGCGGAATCCACGGTGGTGCACACATGGTTCTCAGGTGGCCTCCCATCCATGCTCTCACCGGACTCAGGCCTGCTCAGCTTCAGCAACCTTGTATGCCTTCAGATCTGACTGACACATGAGGACTCATTGAGGACTTGAACTGTCTATCATAGAGACCATCAAGAACATTGTTTCCCCCACCCAGCCTAGTCCCTCTCATTAACCCCCCCCCCCTCCGGCCAGTCTTGTCATGGCCATGTGCAGTGACACATGGCTCGCTGTGACAAGTATCTCTCCCCACCCTGCTAAGCTGCTATCCATCTCCTCAGCCTGTTGTTGCGGGTGAAGGTAGTGGGTGGGAACCGACAGGTTGGAATGCAAATTCGGACTTTGGTTCCTAGTTTCAAAAGTTGAGACAACCCTCCCCAAAGGTCTATTCCTGCACCCTGCTTTGGCACTACAGGGTTCAGAGTGGCTTATTTATAGTTCACATCTACATCCAGACACTGCCAAACATCTTAGCGTCAACCCTAAGCCACCACATGTGCCTTCAGACCATTATCTGAAGCAGAGGTCTGTGTGTGTGGTTGGTTATCTCTTATTGTGTGCTAACAGTGATGTATGGCCCTGCCAGAGCAGATAATTAGTTGCACAGCTACACAGACTGAGAAAAATGAGGACCAACACTGATTAACTTATTCAGCTGTGCTCCAGTGAAAATTGCCCGTTTCTATGTACCTTTATAGTAGACTGTGAATGCCAGACAATAAGAATTATGTGGAAATGGTCAATACTGGGGCTCTGCTATACAAACAAGGACAGCGGGGCAAACTCTAATCACAGCTGGCTCAGATAAACAGGCCTGATAAAGATGCTGGCTACTGAGAGTCAATTTCAGAGGTTGTTTGTATGAAGCAAGCTTGAAAAACTCTACTTTGTTTGAAGGCATAGTTTGGTAACCCAAGCGTGGACTTGCAGAGGACGTGATTTCTGGAAAACATTTTGGGGTCCCGTGAAATATTTCTATAGTCTCTCATCGTCTTCATTGCTTGTCATGAAGACATTCTCACATGGCTGGCTTGTGCTGAACTTTTAAACCTGAGTTTAGGTGTGCTTGTCTGCTGTGCTGTTCAAGTCTGCTGCTTTGTGATTTATTACATGGTTTATGAAGCCAGGAATGATTGTCTGAACTAGGCAAATGTATCCCTTTGTAAAAGGGAAGATTTATACCTACCCTTTGGAAGTGCAGTATTATATTCCAAGCCTGCCACTCCCATTTACCAGAAGTCTGAAGGTTCTCAAGCTAATGCACTTATTCCTTCTCCTCCCTAACCTAGGAAGCATTGCCTCCCTGTGGTGGGATCCGATTCAGCGGCTACTCTTCTCTGGAGCATCTGATAACAGCATAATCATGTGGGATATTGGAGGAAGGAGAGGTCGGACGCTTCTGCTTCAAGGCCATCAGTATGCTAACATTTTATTTTCCCAGCTCTTACTGCTGCTGGTTCAGTCCTTGGTTGTATTAACATAGGGATGTACATTGTACTTTCTTTGAGCACCATCTGTGCTATGCCTTTAAAGCAGCATGAGACCACTTTAAACACTCCTGGCTTTCCCCCAAAGAATCCTGGGAGCTGTAGTTTGTTCAGCATGCTAAGCACTGTTAGCAGACCCCCCTACTCCCCTCACAGAGCTATAGTTCCCAGAGTGGTTTAATCAATCAGTCCTCCTTCCCAGGGAACTCTGGGAATTGTAGTTCTGTGACTACATACAAAACTGTTGAAAAGCACTACATACCAAAATTTTGCAGGGCTGGGGGGCAGTATCTGGTATTTGAAATTAATAAATGAAATTAACAAAATGGGTAAAAATTTACTTCTCTGGTCAAATCAGCTGTCCCTTTGTTTACAAATGAAGCAGTAATATAAACAGGAAGGAGAGCATGAGAACGTCTGTGGTGATAATGGGGGTTTCACTGTAACTTCCATTAGTAGCATTGTGCACACCCCTTCTTTCAAAAACAACAAAACTTAAGGCCATGTGACTCGTGTGGCATCAGGGAAAGCTTCCTGTCAGCATGAATCTTTAAGAAGCCTAAGATGGAAACAAAATTTCAAGAGACGGAAATCGTTTCAACTGCAGCCTGCAGAAACATGGCTAAGGTTCTGTATCAGTTTTAAATACTGAAATGGAGAATGCTTTTTGTTTATTTGCTGTACAGTGACAAAGTTCAGGCCCTTTGCTACCTCCAGCTCACACGACAACTGGTTTCTTGTTCAGCTGATGGAGGGATCACAGTCTGGAATATGGATATTAGCCGAGAAGAGGTAGGAATTGCCACCAGGCCCAAAGGCTTTATCTCATTTCCCTTGAGTGCAGATAAGAAGCTAAGGTCCCATAGCCATGATGCTCTAGTTCTGCTCAGATTTCTGCGTTCTCTTCACAGGCCTCCCACTTATAGGCAGTTAGCTAGGGAAAATTATTATAATAATATTTATGTATTTATACATACATACATACCCCGCCCATCTGGCTGGGTTTCCCCAGCCACTCTGGGCAGTTCCCAACAGAATATTAAAAACATGATAATACATCAAACATTAAAAACTTCCCCAAACAGGGCTGCCTTCAGATGTCTTCTAAAAGTCAGATAGTTAAATACTCCCTTCTCACAGTGAGGGAACTGCCAGAAGGCCCTCAGAACTGGACCTTAGTGTCCGGGCTGAATGATGGGGGTGGAGACGCTCCATCAGATATACTGGGCCAAGGCTGTTTAGGGCTTTAAAGGTCAGCACCAACACTTTGAATTGTGCTCAGAAATGTACTGGGAGCCAATGTAGGTCTTCCAGGACCAGTGTTATATGGTCTCAGCTGCCACTCCCAGTCACCAGTCTAGCTGCCGCGTTCAACATCACAGTAATATGATCGTTCGATGGGCACAAGCATTTCTGCCTGCCAGATGGAACCAAACTCCCCTCTTCTTCTGCACACTGGTGTGGGGTTTTTCCCAACCCTCTGGAGCAGATTAGGGGGAGGAGAAGCTGTCTTGCTCTAGCACGAGTATATACTGGCCTCCACTATCATACTGTGTTAGCTGAATCCAGCCATAAGCAGATTCTACTTGTGGGCATGTTGTATTTATTTATAGTCATTCTTACAGGCCTCAGTCACCTACTGAGGAATCTTGGTTAAAGGGATTTTGATACTTAAGGAATGACCAGACTGCTTGTTTTCGGATAGTTCTTAAAAAAAGCAAATAAATAGGGGAAGGGGGGGGAGCTTTGTTGTTGTCACATTTTCAAGTTTTTTTTCAGCAGCTACAAAGGCTAAAACCTTCTTAAGCTCAAGGTCAGGTAGTGACAAGCCCACAGGGTGTGCCAAGGTAGCTTTCAGGCAATAAGTGCAACTTGAATTGCTCTGCTTCTATTAGTGTATGGAAGACTTGCATTTAGCTGGACCTCCGGTGTCTGCCTATAGGGAAGCAGGTGGGGGAAATCTGGTCCTTCCATGGGTTTCTGAGCCGCCCCAATATGGAGTGAGGACAGGAATAGAAGCTGATTCATATACAGAAGAGAGGTCCAGGCAACAGCTCAGTTAATTGCTTTAAGTGGCATCTATAGTGCTCAGAAACGAGGACAGGACATGTTTAACGTCAGGTTATGAGTGAAAAACGGAAGGCATGATTATTTGACTGTGGAATGCTTCAGTTTTTCCAATTATGCGGTATCTCTTCTTAATCATCCAGACACTGAAAACTGGGGAGCTTCGAAGCCTGCAGCAGGCTAATAATTCAGATGTGGCAAAGGGAGGCTTCCTCATTAGCGTGGTGGAAACGGAAAATGCCACAGCTAAGGGCAAAGTGGGGGAGGCACACAAAGATCTGGGAGACAAGGCCCCATTTCATTAATTCCTCATGGACGCAGCTTGACACTAAATTGGACTAATTACATCTGGAGGGTGGCGGTTTTTACGAGGCAGGCTTGCGTTTTGGGGACTTTCCACAGCTCCTCTCAGTTGAAGGTCTTAATCGCATTTCTAGCTTTGTTGCTAGCGCAAAGCAATAAATAAACAAAGGTTAATAAATAAACACCCTTATTTCCAGCGACATTTATGGGATTTGGGGGAAGCGGGTTTCTCCCCTTTTGCAACAACATGTTTAAACGTTTTCTGTTGCCTCTTCTGCTCCAAGGCCCCTCAGTGGTTGGAAAGCGATTCCTGTCAGAAATGCGAGCAGCCTTTCTTCTGGAACATAAAGCAGATGTGGGACACAAAGACTCTGGGGCTGAGGCAGGTGAGTGTCCTCCCGCCTGCAAAGTATTTTGGTGCCGGCCATGTATGGCATTGGCAGGAAGGATTAATGTTTAGTGCCATACTTGGATCAGGCCTAATTTAAGCACTAGGAGTGCCCCATCTCCCTTCGATCTAATTGAAACGAGAACGGATGCAATGTTTGACTTACAAAGTCCTAAATAGTCTGGACCAGTGTTTTAAGGACCATTTTCTTCCATATCAACTTGGCTATCAAGCTCTTAATCTGAGGGTTTTTTTCTTGAGTTGCTCACTGTTTGGAGGCTAGAGAGGCTAGAACTAGAGAGGGAGTCTGTGGTGAATCTCCCCTCCCCAAAACCACAGTTGGCTGCAGCTAATAATTGGAAGCGCTGTGGTAATTTGGCTTTTTTATTTTGCTTGGTTTATAGTTTTCCATCTTTCTTTTTCCTGCTTTTCAATTCTCTCACCCAGCATCACTGTAGGAAATGTGGCAAGGCAGTCTGTGGAAAATGCAGCACAAAACGCTCCAGCTATCCAGTGATGGGCTTTGAATTCCAGGTCCGGGTCTGTGACGCCTGTTTTGATTCCATCAAAGACGAAGAGTGAGTATGATTAGAAAAGACGCCTTTGTTTTCAGTGATTTTTTTTTTTTTAATTAACCGAAGGACATTGTATACAATACAAACCAAACCAAAGAAAATCCCAAAAGGGAAAGGGGGGAAAAAGTATACACTAATTATGAGCCAGATTATGTAAAGCTCTACTCAAATATTCATTGCTTTGCTTTCCTAGCTGTCAGCTGAGGCTTAAAAAAATAGAGAGCGAGAGCTTCAATATAGCGGGTGGCGCTGTGGTCTAAACCACTGAGACTCTTGGGCTTGCCGATCAGAAGGTTGGTGGTTTGAATTCCCACGACAGGGTGAGCTCCTGTTACTCTCTTCCAGCTCCTGCCAACCTAGCAGTTTGAAAGCACACCAGTGAAAATAGATACGTAAATAGGTACCACTGCGACTGGAAGGTAAATGGCATTTCCATGCACTCTGGTTTCTGTCATGGTGTTCCGTTGTGCCAGAAGCAGTTTAGTCATGCTGGCCACATGACCTGGAAAGCTGTCTGTGGACAAAAGCCGGCTCCCTCAGCCTGAAAGCGAGATGAATGCTGCAACCCCATAGTCGCCTTTGACTGGACTTCACCATCCAGGGGTCCTTTACCTTTTTAGCTATATTCCACAATTTATTCATTAACAAACCAATGTTAGATATTATAAATGTACATATGACTTCTAACACCAATGATCTTTCATTGTAGTAGTTGTAGTTTGCTTCCAAATATTCCACAAACGTTGCAGGTTAGCAAACAAATCCTCTATGGCTAGCTAAAATGCAGCTTTCAGCTTTTAATTAGAAATTCAGTGAACCTTACAAGGCTGTTTTATCCTTTATCCTGAAGTAGGAACCTCATCAAAATAAAGAGCAAGGGAGTCCAGCACCTACCTGATTCTTCCTCCCCGTTTTCCTTTTTTCTGCATTTAGTTCTTTCCAGCTTCGGCTAGCAGTTTCAAATGCTGGAACTGAAGACACTTTCCTCCCCAACCTCCACCATCCCAACCTTGTTCTGTAAACAGAAATCCCTGCTTGCTCCTGTTTGTTAGCATTGGCAAGAGGGTCATCTTCCTGTCTCCCCACCCCTCTTGAATATGAGCTGTTAATCAAAGTAAAACTTAAAAACATCCCTGAGTGAGTCATTTATCTTATTATCACCTGCGTCACTTGCTAGAGCAGGAAAGGCCTGTTGCTATAATTATCCTGCTGTGTGGAGTCTAGTTAAACATTGGAACTCATTCTCCCACCCCAAAGGATCACAAAGCAAATGAGAGCTGATACCTCATCAGTTCATGTGAATTCCTATCGACCACCACTTACTGATGTTCTGGAAGTATCCTCTGTAAGATATCAGGCCAATCAAATAACCTTTTTTGACCTCACTGGGCTCATGGCACCACAGCTGCCCTCCCCAACCTGTTGAGTTGTCCAAAATATTTGGAGGGTTACAGGTTGAGGACTCTTGTGCTACAGCATTTGCACCAGTCCATGCCTAACAGCATAGAGAATAAAACCAGTCATTAAAAAAAAAAATAGGAAGAAACGTGTGGGTTACAATTACTGATCTTCTCATTGTACAGAGGCTTTCACAGATCAGCAGTGGATTCAAAGGTCTGAAGGTTTCACTCTTGAATATTTAGAGCTTAATAGGACCTTAATGAACTGGTCAGTTCTCCAAATGTCATTCATATGCTGAGGCTGATCCTGAACTTGACACATTAACTTTTCAGAAATCTCATTTCCCTGAAGTGTCTTTCTGTCTTGAAGCAATTTCCTGTGCCTGGTTTGAGAAACATCTAGCAAGTGGCCCTTATTTAAACTCATTTTTCTCCCCTCTTCAAGCCGCACTTCTCTGGCAACTTTTCATGAAGGAAAACATAACATTTCCCATATGTCCATGGACATCTCAAGGGGACTTATGGTGACATGTGGAAGCGATCGTGTAGTGAAGGTATGATTCTCTCCCCCCTCCCCATCTGTCTTTGCCAAGACCTGCAAGTAGCTTACACAGTTTCCAAAAGGTAGTAGATATGAAAATATTCAGAGGAGCTAAGGGGAATCCCCAAATAAACAGCAGAACCTTGAGGTCAACCAAATGTTTTGGATAGACTTAATAGTGTTGTTCTGCAGAGATACAGGAAGCAGGGTGTTTTGGTCTACTAAAACTGTTGAGCCATTCTGCCTTTGATGGGTAGGACAAAGTTATCTAGTTGCTTTTCAGGAAATACAGTTGTATCTTGGATCTCAAACGCCTTGGCTCCTGAATGACCGAAACCTGGAAGTGACTGTTCCAGTTTTCAAACGTTCTTTTGGAAGCCGGATGTCCGACGGGGTTTCTGGGGCTTCCGATTGGCTGCAGAAGCTTCCTGCAGCCAATCAGAAGCCATGCTTTGGTTTCCGAATGTTTTGGAAGTTGAATGGAACAGATTCCGTTCGACTTCCAAGGTACAACTGTACCTCCTTTAGCTCCACACCTTTGATCTGAGGTTGTTATTGCCCTGGCTGCCTTTGAACCATTTTTGTAGGATTCATTGAAGTGGAGAAAGTGCCATCCTTCCCCTTTAGCTCTGTACAGATGCTTCTGGATCAAATCACTGGGTGGGATCCAACATTAGTCCTACTCAGTGTAGACCCTTTGAAGTCAGTGGACTTAAATGGGTCAACTCTGAATAGTCAGTGTCAGATATCATCTGTTGGAACTGAAGCGGAAGCAGTAATATTTCTAGCTAGGAATCTGCAGTAAATTAAAATGGGAGTGACTGTGTTTAATCAATGGGGATCATGTAACATTTCTCTGTGTTTTAAGCACCTAAGTATTGGCTTGTTGCACATGGCTCAATAATGAACACTGTCTCCAGTGACTTCCAACTAGAAAACCTTTGATAAGTTCACAAGCAGGGCATGATGGAAGTAGCTAGCATCCTGTTACCATACTACCTTTGTAGTTCTTAGCTGTCGCCAACCATCAGACACTGGGCAACTTGTCCTCTGTTTTGATTAATCTTTATAAGAATTTGCTTAATAATCTCACAAGCCAAATTGTTTTCTGAACAAGTGGACTGTTGAATCTCCAGACGTTTATTGTTTACTTCCCATTTCCCCCCCCCAAAGTATTAGAAATCCTCCAGCATTTTAAGAATTAATGGTTATGAAGCATTTCCCCCCCCTTTTATATAAAAAAGTTATGCCCACAGAAGGAAGATCTATGCCCTTGAAGGATAAAATGCCCCTTAAGTTCCCAATTTAGACTACTTTAGCTTTGGAAAGATTAGAATCAAAACAACCTTTTCTGTTCCATCCTTATTACTTGATAACCTGAATTCAGTGTAGAATATTTGGTGTGTCAGGTAATGGTGTGTTTGCAGAACTGAAGTGACCTCCCCAGGTTGCAAGCCTGGGCAGTGTGTATGGAGATCCTGGACTGCCCAGACGACAGGACGCCTCTCTTGGCCTTGCTGGTGTTCTCCAAAGGAAAGGAAACCATTGCATTTGGCAGCAGCTTGGCTGCAGGAGTTGCCAGAAGGAAGTGTACAAGGCACCATCCAACCATCTTAGGGTCTCTACTCCGGATTTGTGTAGGGTTTACTCCTTAGCCTTTTCTTCTCCTGAAGATGTCCCGCAAGGCAGTGGGTACTGATTTTTTCCTTGGGGTTTACTCCTGAAGCCTTTCTCACAAATGAGTGTAACTGCAAGGTAGCAGAGGTATCGAATCAGAGTTTTCCTTCTCCTAAATGGGCTACCTTCCAATGTTGATGAGCCCCATCTGCTCCTCATTTCCCTTTACATCTCATGCATTGCATAGTACAAGTGTCAAGGAAAAAGCTTGTAATACGCAACATAGAATTCATCTGTGGTATAAAATACTACAGTTGTACCTTGGTTCTCGAATTTAATCCATTCCAGGAGTCCATTCGACTCCTGAAACGGTTTGAAAAACAAGGCGTGGCTTCCTACTGGTTGCAGGAGCGTCCCACAGCCAATCCGAAGCCGCTTCGGACGTTCAGCTTCCAAAAAACGTTCGCAAACGGGAACAGTCACTTCCAGGTTTGTGACGTTCGGGAACCGATTTGTTCGACAACTAAGGTGTTCGACTACCAAAGTATGACTGTAGAGTTAAATAACCAACCAGCTTATGCAAAATAGTGCAAAATAGTGTCATTGTTCTTAGATTCTATTCATGTGTTGCCTGCTGAATTGCCCGCCCCCCCATTTTGGTCACCTTTATCTGACAGAAAGGTGGGATAAATCACTGGTCTGAAACTGCTGGGTCGCCACCTGTCTTACGAAGGGTCTCAACAGCAGCCCTGCCACCAATCATGTTGTTGGCATCCGTCTGTCTCGGGAGACAATGAAGGAGTGAGCTTTCGGGGGTGAAGTCAAACCGTTGGAAAGACTGAAACCACTGAACCTCTTGGGCTTGCTGATCAGAAGGTCGGCGGTTCAAATCCTTGTCATGGGGTGACCTCCCGTTGCTCGGTCCCAGCTCCTGCCAACCTAGCAGTTTGAAAGCACGCCAAAAAAAGTGCAAATAGATAAATAGGTACCACTCCGGCGGGAAGGTAAACATAGCTGTCAACTTTTCCCTTTTATTGCGAGGAATCCTATTTGGAATAAGGGAATTTCCCTATAAAAAAGGGAAACTTGACAGCTATGAAGGTAAACGGTGTTTCTGTGTGCTGCTCTGGTTTCGGTGTTCTGTTGCGCCAGAAGCGGCTTAGTCATGCTGGCCACATGACCCGAAAAAACTGTCAATACGTGTTTGAACTGCAGGCAGCTCTAGAGTTTGAACATGTTGGGTCTGCTGCCATATGTCACAGAGTCTTACTTTGCTTCTGCATCTCCTCCTTCAGATATGGGACATGACACCAGTAGTGGGCTGTGGCCTTGCGACCGGCTTCGCTTCCCGCTGACCTGGGCCTGCCGAGTTAATGTACCCGAAGCACCAAATGGATAACACTCCCTTCTGTGATTCTTGCCACCAAAATGCCGGCTGCTTGACTCTGTGAACTCTGCTTTTCCCAAGATGGAGAGCCTTCTTGTGTGTCTGTGTGTGAGAGAGTGGAGCAGAATTCTTCTGTAATGCTTACCAGGAACAGCGGAGCCTGCCCAACTACAAGTTCACAGCCTATGGAATGAACGCAGAAAAGGCTTTAAGTGCAAAAAAACCAACAACAACTCCTTGCCTAGAGAGACCACTCCTCATTCGATTTACTTGTAGTCTTCAATGTGTGCTTTTTCTCTGCTGAAATAATACTGTACAGTGGCAAAGGGTTAAAATGAGTGTAGTGACAACAGAGTGTGCAAATAGTTGTAACTTATTCTCCGTCCTTGTAAACCATCCCTGTAGGCTAGTTTTATCTTCTGAACAGCCGCTGTGAAGGCTGCCTCACAAACATAAGAATATATACCTTTTGACGGAAAGAAAAAAGCACCTCTTCACCTCAAAGCAGCATTGCAATAAGGGTGAGAAAATGGATAAGATTTTTTGGGTGGAGAATTTTCTATGAATTCTGTTTATTCTTTCAAAGTTGTTCAGACTGAGAATTACGTCAAGTTGTCTTGAGAATTTTTGTATCTGGCCAAAATCATGACTTTTTTTCTGTAACACTAAAAGCAAGTTGATGTGTCTTGTTGTATGCCTTACATGTAAATAGAGGCTGTGTGAACTCAACAACCTGCACACTTTGAGTGAACTAGTTGTTGTGTTCTTTCCGCTCCCCAGATGATGGCGCTTCCTGCATTCCCCCCCTTAAAAAGTCATAATAATGGAGAAGTGTGTGTCACTTTGATCTTACTTTCTTCAGCCAGTGCTGAGCATGCTTTTGAAAACATTTCAGCAATAACTAATTTTGTTGTGGGGTGGGGGCGCATAGATAAGAGCTCCTGCACTTAAAAACGGATGAGATGAGTAGCAGCGGAAAGTTGTGAGATTAAAGATGCCCGCAAACTTTGAGAATGAAACCGATTTGTCACGTTGCGCTACAGCAGTATAAGGAGAAGGGAATGATCCTTTGTAACCTGAGCACCATTTCAAGTCACCTCTCTGTTCATTTGCTTCATTGGCACTGTTGAGTTTAAATTTTTGGAGTAAATGTAGCTTTGTGAAATCGGGCCGGTGCGATCGCTAGCATTAATGGGATAAAATCATTGCCTAAAAGCCTGTGTAAGATCCACAGCAAGGGTTAGTTCATGCAGGCTAATAGATCTGAACTGCTCGTTTTCCCTCCGATCAGGTAGCAATATCTCTTGTCTCAATGTATAGTATCTCTAGGGGTATTTTCTGGAAATGTTGTACTAAAGCGGGGGTGGGGAGAGCTATTTGGTGTTTGCCATGAAAAACTTTCATAAGGCCAGTGTTAATTGTATACTGTTTTATAAGTGTGTAAATCGCTAAAGAATCAAGTCTTTTAAGTGTTTTGTGTTAGGGAGATGCATATGAGGACGGGCAGTATAATATTCTGAGGTGAAATGTTGTGTTTGCTGATGATCACACTAGGACTTAGATCAATGCTATGTGCTGCAGTTATGTGCAAGATTTGAGTTACTTCATTAGAATGAAAACTCAGGAAAAAAAGATGCAGTTGATCATTTTAGGGTCAAGGTGCGGGGAGGAAAAACATGAAGGCAGCAGTTTTGCCTGCATCCTAACATAAAGTTTGAAGAGTAGCACAATCTTCATAGAGAACAGTTTTCTCTCTTGAGTTGATGCGTTCTGGGAAGAAGATGGCCTCACTGAACCAGTAAACTTGTACTACTCATTGCCTTATTGGACTGCATGAAAAGTGGAACTGCACTTGTATGGATTAAACCAGAGTCAGTTCACCTCAGTGCCCAGAGGAAAAGTTTTCTTTATCTGGAAATGCACATCTTGTGTTTTGAAAACTACCCGACTTGAAAGCATTTGTTATATCTCTACCCCACCTCCCCTCAAAAAATTGCCTTAGAGCATATGTTCCCTTTTCCTCTCTTGGAAACCTGGGATAACTGGCAGCAAGGGAGGGGGGCACCCATTGTTTCAGCATTGATAGTTGACCCTACAGAATAAATTCTCCAACTTGATTGGCTACTTTTTCGGTTATTAGCTGCATAGACCACAGAATAAGACTTTCCAGCTCTTGGCAACTGCACTTAGACTCTTCTGTGAGTATTTTGCCAAAGGATGCTGAATTTGCTCCGTGACTGAATCATTTTTATTTTATTCTATATTTTGGTAATTTGGAGAATTTGACATTAAGGTGTTGTGAGAGAGATTTTGTTGGGAAAACACAAGTTTGTTTGCATAATTCAAAACACGGGAGTTCTCCAAAGTCGTCAAACCCTTCCCTGAAAACTTAGATTGTGTGTTTCTATAGAAAACAGTTTTGGGGTGAGCAGAAGGACAAACACAATGCTGTGCAATGTAACAATAACGGTCCCAGTAATTTTAAATGTGCAATTACTTTGACTTGATTTGACACACTTACCTAGTCCCCCCCCCAATTAAAGCCTTTCTTTATGTGGGAGCAACAAGTACTAATGTATCTTTTGTCCGATAGCTGTGTTCTGTGAAATACTGTATCCTTTGTTATCTGAGACTCTGTTATGGCTGTTCTTCGTTCTCCCTCCTGTCTTTTGGAAGAAAAAAAACTTTGAATATTGTACAATTAAAAAAAAAAGAATATTTCCTGATAGTATTCCCCTTCGCCTCTCTGTTCTGATGACCTATCTTTTGTTTGTGGGGAGAAATAACTTGCTGTGTGTGTGCTTTACATAAAAGATTGTCCAAATGGATGAGCAGAGAGAAATTGCTTGCTTAAAACACTACAGTGGAAGGAGCGGTCCAGGTACGAATGAAATGGTTTGGGGGTGAGGAGAGAATTGAGAATGTTGAAGATCCGAAACTTGGTGAACTATGCTCGCACAGTCTTCGAATAGAAAGGGGAAGAAGGGTACCTATTTGAATTGTTGTAATAGGTGATGAAATCTGGGGTGAGCCTGCTGTAAAAGAGCCTAGGAAATAATTTAACGCTGCAAACCTAAACACCAGCGGAGCATTCAAACCCACTTTGTGTTGGTCCGAGAGGGGTGCTTCTCAGCTGGCCTATGTCTTTGGCTGCTGTTGTTGGTGTCATTCCCTGGTGCGTAGCTTCCTCTCCCACCTGCCCAATGAAGTGCCCCTGGTGAGATCCCCGACGACAGTCAGTGGAAAGGCACACATTATGCAGTGGCATCAGTTCAGTCACTGTGCCAGCTGCAGCCTGGCATTGCCTCCCACCCAAGCCAATACATCCAGCAGGGGTGTGTTCGTCCCATCACTCTGTAAAGCCCAACAAGGCTTGAGGGGCATTTGGGGTTGCTTCCTTTGGGAGTGGTGCCATAACACTCAGTAGGACCTCAGCACAACCCTGCAGGTATTTAATTTGAAAAAAAAGAAGAAAAAGAATAGGTATGGCAAGCTCTGGGATTTTTTAAATGTAAGAACTAATCTACAAAGCCAACCCACCCAAGAAAAGGGTGAAGTGTAGAAAAGCTCCAGAAGCTTTAGCTGCTCAGGGAGAAATAATGCCCAATTTACCTGTCTGTTTTCCCCTGCAAGAGATTTATTTCTTCTTCCCATTGGCTGGCAGTCCTGAAAAGGTGAGAGAAATGATGAAGCTAGTCTTAAATTTGCCTCTGGTTAATTGCAGAGGCCAGACTTTCCTGTTTTTTAGAATGCTGCATTACTTCATGTTTCCAGTTTCATTGTTCCCTCTGTCTGTTGCACTTGAATCGATGCTTTATGTCCCTGCTACAGAAATTTGTTCATGTACTGTCAGAAATGCACAGTATTATTTCCCAGCAAACTCTTGCCTGAAGGACTTTCTCAAATCAAGGTTTCATATTGAAAGCAGGGACTTCTGAAGTGTGTTTGAAGCATGGCAGTGCTGTGTTAGATTGATGGGAACATGAAGATGTGCGCATATTGTGTTTTTGTGTTTCTCTAATAGTCCCGCTTTTTAGCTATTCGCAAATTAAGTCCTCTTTTGGAATTGTGGTTTTCCAAGGTCTGTGGGCGAAATCAAACAGCCACATTCATTACACAAAAGCAGTGCCATCAAGTAACAATTTGCATGCTATGTTCCTTTTAGCAACAATCTTCGATCCTTTGTTTCGCTGATGTCTACATTGGTGATTGTGGCTTGTGTCCCTTCAAACAAGCCATGATCTGAAAGGCGAGTTTTCTTCTTACCAGTTGCGGTTTGTTTGAATGGAAGAAACCATGATCCCATGAAGGATGGTGGTTTGTTTCCTTCTGCCTGCAGGAGCCGTTTACATTAACTTGCTTGCACATGTAGCCGCACTGTCAGTAGCAACAATTTAATGTGTTCAAGTGTGAGTGTGAAATAATGGACTGACTGCATGTACGATTCGGCCCTGAACCTGGTGATTGCATTCACTACCATACTATATATGCAGATAGGGGGATGGCATGTGCAAATTCATTGGAGAAGAGCTGTAATTCCGTGATAGAGCTCTATTTTGCATGCAGAAGGTCCATGTTCAACCCCTGGCATCTTTAAGTAGGGCTGGGAGAGAAACCTTTGTCTGTCTGGAGGACACTTGTCTGTCTGTGTAGACAATACTGAGCTAGATGGACCATTGGTCTCTATATAAGGCAGCTTCCTCTGTTCAATCCTGGAAGAACACTCAGAACCTTTTAATGTAATGGTTCAAAGGCATAGTGTGCCTCCTAGCATCCCTCCCTCCCGATACAGCCTTTCTCAACCTGTGGGTCCCCAGATGTTATTATTAGTTCAACAACATCTGGGGACCCACAGGTTGAGAAAGGCTGTATCGGGAGGGAGGGATGCTAGGCAATGGGCCGTGAGATGTTTGGGGTTGTGGGGGCTCTTAATTTTGGAGGGCCTTTGAAACATGTTCTTAAATACCACATGGAGCTTAGTCTGGACTATGGAAAAGGGGCTGATTTGTTGAGATGGGTCAAAAGCATTGTCAAGCTGGAGTTCCCAAGAGTGAAAGGAGCAGGAGATAAAGGAAAATACAGCTATAAATATGAAGAAGAGCTGCGGAAGGGACATGGAAGGGACTTAAGGGCCTTGGACATAAGATTGCCAGGTTAATGCGCTAGATTGATGAGATAGAAAGGACTGACAAAACCCGGGACCAGGAGGAAGAGACGCTGGATGAAGATTGGATTGTTTCTTTTTTGTTACTTTTTTATTAGGATTGTTTTATAAAATTGATGAATGTTAGAAAAATGTTGGAACGAAATTATTTGGCTTTAGCAAAAATGTTTAAAGAATTATGTAAGAATATTATGGTTATGAGAAATTGGTAAAAATAAGATTTAAGTTTTAAGCTTTAAGGTTTTTATAGTAAGATAAGATTAGAATAGAGTAAGGTAAAGTAATGACAGAATATTATGAAGTATGGAAAGGATTTGCTGCGACAATTAATAACCAGGATACAAAAAAAGGGAGGAGGAGAAGGTCAAAGAAAGAAGGTAATGACAGTTAAGGATTTGAGAATATTGGATTTGTTTTTAAATGTTTGTGGTATATTTTTATTTTTTGAGCATGTTGTGCTATTTTTTGATTTTGACTTTTATTAATCTGTATTGTTTGACTGTGGTTTGTTTTTTCTTTGTTTTTTCTTTCTCTTTTTCTTCTTTGTTTTCTTTTGTAATTCAAAAATTTTCAATAAATATCATTTAAATAATAATAATAATAATTTTTATTTATACCCCGCCCTCCCCAGCCAAGGCCGGGCTCAGGGCAGCTAACAAGCAATAATAAAAACAAGTTGAATGAATGCAACTTAAAAACAAGATTAAAATACAACATTAAAATTTTGAAACATTAAAATCTTAAAATGCAGCCTCATCACAGGAGGAGAAAGGAAAAAGAAAGAGGGGGAGGGAATCAAATTGGCTCCAAGCCAAAGGCCAGGCGGAAGAACTCTGTCTTACAGGCCCTGCGGAAAGAAATAAGATCCTGCAGGGCCCTGGTCTCATGAGGCAGAGCATTTCACCAGGCCGGAGCCAGAGTTGAAAAGGCCCTGGCTCTGGTTGAAGCTAATCTAACTTCCTTAGGGTACTGGGACCTCTAGGGTGTTGCTATTTATGGACCTTGAGGCTCTCCGTGGGGCATACCAGGAGAGGCGGTCCCGTAGGTACGAGGGTCCTAGGCCGTGAAGGTCTTTAAAGGTCAAAAGCAGCACCTTAAATCTGACCCTGTACTCCACCGGGAGCCAGTGCAGCTTGAAAAGCACTGGGTGAATATGCTCCCATGGCAGAGACCCCGTGAAGAGCCTCGCTGCAGCATTCTGCACCCACTGGAGTTTCAGGGACAGCTTCAAGGGCAGCCCCGCGTAGAGTGAGTTACAGTAGTCAAGCCTGGAGGTGACAGTCGCATGGATCACTGTAGTTGTTGAACTACAACTCCCATCACCCCTACCTAGTAAGGCCAGAGCTCAGGGATGATGGGAGTTGTAGTCTAACAACATCTGGGGACCCACATGTTGAGAACAGCTGCAAGGCAGAAATTTGGGAGGAGTAATTCCCCCCCCCCCCGCAGGGGTGAGAGAAGCTTACAATGTGCAACTTCTTCATCACAGGCAACTGTTGAAAAGCTGAAGGAGTAGCCCGGTCTTCCACCTCCAGATTATTCCAAATCACCAGCCCTGACTGAATGCTGTCAGCAAGCAGGGAAGAAGTTAAATGCTAGAGGACAGAGCAGAAGGAGAGGCTCCTTCCTAATGAGCAGCATTGAAAGAGAATTCGGCTTTGTGGTGCTGTTTACAGAAATGAAGCTCATCAGCAGGTCCCCATGGAATTCCTGGAGATGCCTTGAAGGCGCCAGCTAAAAGTGAACCAGCTTGGCATGAAGATGCAAATGAAAAGTAATATTCTAGTCTGGGGATGGGGATCCCGATGGCCACACACATTCGTGGCAGTTGGGGCCCAAAGACAAAAGCGAGCGGAGTAAACAAATGTGGGTTTTGCCTTTGTACAGTAGGCTGCACTCTCACCCATCCCTCTGCCCTGCATCCAAACAAGCAAGAAGCGTTAATAATAATAATAATAATAATAATAATAATAATAATAATAAATTTTATTTATATCCCGCCCTCCCCAGCCGAAGCCGGGCTCAGGGCGGCTAACAACAATAAAACAGTACAAAAGTACAGCACAAACAAGATTCTAAAATCATTCATTATAAAATTAATTAATTCAAGCCACTGGCAACCATTGGGCCAGAGCTCCGCGAAGATTGCCGAGGGAGGGAGTCAGGCTGTGCCCTGACCAAAGGCCTGGTGGAACAGCTCTGTCTTGCAGGCCCTGCGGAAAGATGTCAAGTCCCGCAGGGCCCTGGTCTCTTGTGACAGAGTGTTCCACCAGATCGGAGCCACAGCCGAAAAAGCCCTGGCTCTAGTTGAGGCCAGCCTAACTTCTCTGTGGCCTGGGACCTTCAAGATGTTTTTATTTGAAGACCGTAAGTTTCTCTGTGGGGCATACCAGGAGAGGCGGTCCCGTAGGTACGAGGGTCCTAGGCCGTATAGGGCTTTAAAGGTTAAAACCAGCACCTTAAACCTGATCCTGTACTCCACCGGGAGCCAGTGCAGCTGGTATAGCACCAGGTGAATGTGATCTCGCAGCGAAGACCTCGTAAGGAGTCTCGCTGCAGCATTCTGCACCCGCTGGAGTTTCTGGGTCAGTCTCAAGGGCAGCCCCACGTAGAGCGAGTTACAATAATCCAGTCTGGAGGTGACCGTCGCGTGGATCACAGTGGTTAGGTCAGGGCGAGAGAGGTAAGGAGCCAACTGCTTAGCTTGGCGGAGATGGAAAAATGCCGCCTTTGTTATAGCTGCAATCTGCGCCTCCATGGAAAGGGAGGTGTCGAAGATTACACCCAAACTCTTAACGGACAGTGCTGGCACTAATTGCGCCCCGCAAGAGATGGGAGTTGCCCCCAATCCCATATCGCCCCGTCCCAGCCACAGGACCTCTGTCTTCGAAGGATTTAGCTTCAACCGGCTCCCACGTAACCATCCAGCCACAGCTTCCAAACATCTGGTCAGTGTGTCTGCGGCCGAGTCAGGATGGCCATCCATCAACAGATAAGAGTTGGGTGTCATCGGCATACTGATGGCAACCCAGCCCAAAACGCCGAACAAGCTGGGCGAGGGGGCGCATAAAGATGTTGAAAAGCATCGGGGAGAGTATCACACCCTGAGGTACTCCACACACCAAGGAGTGGCGCGATGACAATTCCCCCCCAAGCGCCACCCTCTGTCCCCGACCAGAGAGAAACGAGCGCAGCCATTGAAGGACTGTGCCCTGGATCCCCACGTCGGCAAGGCGGTGGTCCAGAAGTTCGTGATCGACCATGTCGAAAGCTGCTGACAGATCTAGAAGAATCAGCAGCCCCGACCCGCCTCAATCCAGCTGTCTACGAAGATCATCTGTTAGGGCAACCAGAGCCATCTCGGTCCCATGACCAGCGCAGAAGCCGGACTGGAATGGATCCAGAGCCGATGTTTCATCCAGAAACCCACCAAGCTGTTCAGCAACCGCTCTCTCAATCACCTTACCCAGGAACGGAAGATTCGAAACCAGGCGGTAATTGGATAGATCTAAAGGATCTAATGATGTTTTCTTTAAGAGCGGGCGCACCACTGCCTCCTTCAGTTCCCTGGGAATGTCCCCATGCCAAGGGACAAATTGATGATATCCCCCAGGAGGGCCCGCACCTCGTCTGGACACGCTCTAATCAGCCAAGACGGGCACGGGTCGAGAGGGCAGGTGGTGGGCTTTCCAGCTCGGAGGAGTCTGTCCACATCGGCTGGGGATATCCGGTCGAAGTGGTCCAATACTGGACCCGAGGACAGTCGAGGGGCCTCCAGTTCCTTTATTGTATCCAAATTGGCAGGGAGGTCATGGCGGAGCAACAAGACCTTCTCCGCAAAAAGCTCGCAAATGCCTCACAGCTGTGTGTCAAATTGTTATTTAAATTTGGCTGTCCCTCAAGGGACATTAAAGACCTGATTATACTAAATAATTGCGCTGGGCGAGAGCTAGCGGATGCAATGGAGGCCGAGAAGTATGACTTCTTAGCAGCCTTCACCGCCATCTTGTAGGTTTTCATAAAAGCCCTATAAGATGTTCTTGAGGCTCCGTCACAGGCACCCCGCCATACTCGCTCTAGCCGTCTGAGGTCCCGCTTCATTTTCCGGAGCTCCTCGGTAAACCAGGGAGCCCGGTTTCTGCGGGGTCGCAGAGGGCGCTTAGGTGCGATCTCATCGATGGCTGCCAGGAGCTGGGTATTCCAGCCCTCAACAAGCTCAGTCAATGAGTCGCCAGGGGGAGCAAGGTCCCGCAAGGCTTGGCGGAATCTATCAGGGTCCATCAGCCTCTGCGGGCGAGCCCAAATCGGCTCACCACCTAAGCAGGGTGGGGGTGGAAAGTCAATCCTAGCTTTCAGAGCGTAGTGATCAGACCATGGCACCTTCATCGAAGGAGACATGATCACATCTATACCTACGCCAAAGATCAAATCCAGCGTGTGGCCTGCTTGAAGTGTGGGGCCCGAAACAAACTGGGAGAGCCCTAGTGTCGCCATGGAAGACACCAGGTCCAGAGCCTGTGAGGAGGGAGTGGCATCAGCATGGATGTTAAAGTCCCCCAATACCAATAGGTTAGGGAACTCCAAGGCTCAGCCGGCCACTGCCTCCAGTAGGCCTGACAGGGTGGCTGCTGGTGCGCTAGGTGGCCGGTACACCAGCCAGCCAAGCTCTCCTCGGAGCCCCACACTAGGCCAACACATTCAATGCCAGGGATCGATGGCGATGGTAGA